CTAGGGTGCCTGATTTTTACCATGTTATTAGATTTTACCACATTCTCACCCTGCTATTTACTTTATTTTATTTTTTGACTTCTGTCTTTTGTCTTACCCGCTTTCTGGAACCGTTCTTCGCAGGACTCCAACCCTGTTATTGCAGTCAATTCTGCTCTGTGTCTCAAGTCCGCCGACATACAGTATGTGTCGAGCTACCAGACAACCTGGTAACAGCGGGAAAGCCGTCCATACGGAGATAATCGGTCAACTGGTAAGTGAGAAAAAGAACGGCATCATACCACCTTGCAGCGTTCATTTTGATGACAAAATGCAGCCATACAAACCTCCATCTACATTATTTGCGATCTTCAGAAATGTATATAGGGGTACGTTTTCAGAATGAGCTTATGTTGACGTTTTTTGTACGTTTACATTTTTACTGTTTTAAGTGATTCATTTAAGTTGATCCATTTTTTTTTTTGCAGTATTTTGCAGCTTGCAGTATCCAAGATGAGCAAGAAAATATCGTTTTGATGAACAATACATCATAATTTGCAGAAACTGACTTCATAAAACCTCTGTGTATCTCCAGGAGACATGGGTATTATTTTGTATTGCCTGTATGTTTTGGGGTTTTTTTTACCCTCGAAGTGCTGCTACCAGGTACTTGCATTTAAATTACCTTGATTTCATCTAAAAATCTGCTTTAGAAACATCTTTGACAACCTTGCGTAGTGACTAAAAAGTAGAAAACGTCGATCTATTCAGTCAGCTGAAAGGAGTGGGTGCTGTGATCTGGACAACCTGTCTCATCTCAAGCTCATTGATATTCGTTCTTGTGTTAATCTTGTTTTAGTAATTGACTTCAGTGCTACAAAGCGCTTCGGTGACACGCACAGCATGCATAAACGTGATCAAAATACAGTTCAATGCAAATGAATAGGTACTCAGAATGAAAATCACTTTCCCAAACGGCTGTATAATCACCCAAGCTGTACTAGTGACATAATACTACAGGGCATTTAGGAATTATAGATACATCTCTTTAAAAATTGAACTGTAAATGCCGGCTAGTAGCATATTAGTCCCCCCTGAATTATTACTCCCCCTGTTAAGTTTTTTCTTCAATTTCTGTTTAACAGAGATTTTTTCAACACATTTCTAAACATAATAGTTTTAATAACTCATTTCTAATAATTATTTTTTATCTTTGCCACATGATGACAGTACATAATATGTTACTAGATATTTTTCAAGACATTTCTATACAGCTTAAAGTAGGGGTCACCAATCTTGTTCCTGATGGCCAGTGCCCTGCAGGGTTTAGCTGCAACTTGCCTCAACACACCTGCCTGGGTGTTTCAAGTATACTTAGTAATATATATATATATATATATTTTTTTTTTCCCTTACTTTATTTCACCGTTCATTCAATTGCATTTTTCCTCTCTTTTAAAAACTTAAAACTTAAAAAGAGAAACTTACAGGAGTTTTTAAGATAAGATTACAGAAACCCTTTGTTAATATGAGGCTAAACACATAACAACATTTTATTTTTAACTGTGGTGATGGTTGCACATGGTGAATTATTTACCATAATTTACCTTCACTAATATTATTAAATAATATGCATATATTTACATCCTCATTTAGTGGATTTTTTATATTAGACTTAGTTTTATTTACCAAATAAGTGGATACTTGGATTTGCAATATAAACTTTAATAATAAACGAAATACATTCATTTTCCTTCGGCTTAATCTCTTAATTCATCAGGGGCTGCCACAGCGGAATGAACCGCTAACTTATCAAGCATTTGTTTTACACTGCGGATGCCCTTATAGCTGCAACCCATCACTGGAAAACATCCATATACACCATTCACACACATGTTTTATTATTTATTTGTTTAATTTTCAGCTGCTCTACTCTCAAAATCAATCTGCAGATTTTTTTTCATATTTTATTCATTTATTTATTTTACAAAATTTTGATTGAGCAAAAATAAATTAAATTAAAATTAAATCGTCTACAGTTTCTGCTAATGGTTATAGGAATTTTGAATCGATTCTGTCCTTCATCTTCAATTCTTTTCTTTTCTGTGTTAACTTAACATGCAGCTTTCTCAGTCGCTAAGCTATTTACACCCAAATGCGTCTGTCATAAAGTTCTTTTACCCCAAAATGTGCTCTGCTGGGGAAATTCCTCTTGCATTAAAATTTGAAGAAAAATAGAAGCACTTTCTGTATTTTCCCCAAGTGTGTCTCAGCTCAGCAATCTTCCCACGACAAGAAGCTTTGCTCGGTGAGTGTTTATTAATATTTGAAAACCAAAACAAATAAATCTGCCACTTTTTTCCCAGGTTTGTTTTTGCCTTGTTTAATAAAAGGATACTCTCAATTCAGCCAGGGGTACAGAACGGATGTGAATTAATGGACTGATCAAATATTTATACTTTTTTAAGGACATAGTGGAGTGGTAGCAAGTTTGTTTTTTTGTTCGTAAAGTGTACAAAAAAAAGTAACTTAGCCATGTAGTTGTTGTTATGCTAAATCTGTCTAGATAAGCTACAACAGCAAATATGTATATATATATATCTGGCTAACGGATGTTATTATAGTCATGTTAAAAAATAATTATGCAAGTTCAAAAGAACTGATGTGATTTTAATATTCATCTAATTCCCTATGAAATTTAAGGCTTAAATGCTTCTTTAGCCACATGATGTCTTTAGAAAATATTTTTGTTCAACAGTATATTTGGTTTAGCTAAATAATATAACAAATCTGACCTTAAATTGTAATTATATAAAATATTACACTTGTTTTGTGGAGGAGTTGTCAAATGAATGTTTACCAGGATTAAATTCCTTGTTTGCAGTTGTTTGTCTACTAAGGTTTGTTTTAGCATATTAGTTCACTGAAAACTTTAGTTTAGGCGGGATTTATTGGAATCATATCTAGCATATTTTAATATACATTAGTTATCGTAGTGAATTTGCAAATATCCAATCAGTTGTTAAGTATGTACAGCAGAACACTTTGCACCATGTTAATTCCTAAACACAATTCACTCAAGCTCATTCGCATGCAATACTTTTATTGTGCGCGAGATAGCGCTATTTAACCACTCAATGCAATTGGTGTTAACTATGTTATAACTTTTCACAGAGATAAGGGAATTAACAAAATTATACTTGATCAGTATATAAATAAATAAATGCAAATACACTGTAAAACCCAAAAAGTTAAGGTAACTCAAACCATTTATTGCAACAAACCATTTAAGTTCAAAAACTAATTCTAATCAGTACTGTGAACCTTACCCATTTGAGTAAATAACTGCAAAAGTTGAAGTAATTGGGTATTTAATTAATTTAATTAGTTCAAAACTAACACTGAGTTTAAAACTCAAATGAGTAGATTTAACTTCCAGTAAATGTTGAGTTAACTACACTCATTTCATTTGATAAAGTTGACTGTTCGGTTTTACAGATATACATTTATAAAAGTAAATAAGGGTAAAAATAAGAGTAAATCACCTGCTGATCAGTTTCTCAAGTTGAAACGCTCTCCTATCTATTACTGTTTTATCTTTGCTTCTTTTATCACTCTTTATCAGTTTTAACATGTAGATATAGACAACAAAAAGCTGAAAAATTAAATGTTATTTGATATATAAGTTTATGTTATAAATATATGACGTTTCACAACATTTTCCAAATTATGAAGTGATCAAGAAATTCACACAATCAGTATGTAAAACAAAGCCTAAAAATTTTGAAACCAACTTCAATCATCCTGTGTTCAGATTTAAGATTTTACTTTATGCTTAATTAAATATCTAATATACTATAAATACACTTGCATAAAGGTACATGTACAAGAGCTTTCACTGGGGTGGTACAAAAGGTTCAAATTCGTACATTAAAGGTCTATATTAATTCCTCAAGTGTACAAATTATTACTTTAAAAGTACAAAAGTTCTCCTCTTAATTTTTTTAGGTACTATTGAGGTACCAACATACAAATGTGTGCCTTTTGAAAAGGTATCACCCCTGTGACAGCTCGAGTACCTTTATATATATATATATATATATATATATATATATATATATATATATATATATATATACATACAAATAAAACTATATAAATACAGTTGTTTATAATTATTAAACCATGAGGTTTAGGGTCATACGAGCACAGATATACTTATGCTTTCACCCCTGAAGACCCCTGATATATTCAATGACTTTGTATCTAAATAATTTAACAATTTTTTTTTTTATAAAAATAATTAGAAAGAAAAAAGTGGACACATAAAACAACTATGAACTACAAACAATAAATGCATACCTGAAGCATCCTATTAAATAATTTAATTATAATATATTAGATAATGTTATGATAAATTAAAATGTAATGTAAGCGTTTGAAGACAATCTGCACTGAAAATGCTGGGTTCCACACAATTTCTTCATGTTGTCTTAACATTACACTGTAAAAAAAATCCCGTTGCCTTAGATTTTTGAAGCTGAATAAAATTAACCTTATGAGTCCATTGAACTTATTATGTGAAACTGACTTAAAACATGATTAACTTAGTTTAAAAAGTTACAATTAACTAAAACATATGCTGGCCGGACTAATCAATCATATCACTTTTACAGTGCAATCAATTAAGTTACCTTAACCGTTTTTACAAACTTAAGTGGATTAAACATAAATTAAGTTGTCCCTCAGTTAACAGTTGTGTAGTTTCAAATCATTTAACATATGTAGTTCGAACAAGCAGGTAATATTTTGAGTGTGCTTGCCTCGAACCAAAGAAGTAAAATGATCTAGCACTCTCTTCTGACTTAAATCGCTAGGTAAGCAATCATTTGAATCAAAATTTCATTTGTGAAGTAAATATTTTATCCACCAAAATTCGAAGTGGACAAGCTACTGATTTACAGTAACGTCCCGCCCACCTGTGAATCTCGCCCAATGGGATTGAACCTGTCTTGACAAACTACGCACCAGTCACGTCCCAAGATTAGATCGAGTAAACTTCTTGTTCTGAAGGAAGTTTATTTTCACAGCCGTTCATGCATTTCCACCCACAACCTTTTTGAGGGGGGTCAAGAGGAGTGAGCTCAAACAATCAGACTTCTGATTCAGACAGGCAAATGTAGATGTGCTTCACTGCATGCAGGAGCAGGTGGAGCGGAGAGCTTTAACACACAACACAGAGAAAGAGAGAGAGGGTGAAGGGATCTGGACATCCAACAAGAACAACAACAAAAAACACCTTTACCTAAAAACTTTTATTTGGTGTCCTAGACGTCTGCCAGGGGTGAGACTGAATTTGAAGAAGACGAAGAAGAATCTGGGAAAATCATAATAATAAAAAGGATCTCAATTTCTTCTGGTGAAGCAGTTTCAAAAAGGTAAACAACAGTTCTTATATGTTTTATAACCCACAATGTAGTCGTTTATCAATAATTGTCTGTTTCAACAAGTATTATTTAAAAAGAAATTAGTGAATAATACAAATATGAACTAGTTATCGACACATTCAGCAGTTCTTTTCAAGCACTTTGTCAAGCAAAGTAAACTATGATGGCTTTTTGTAATATTAGTAATCTACGTTTGGGGTAACTGTAGTTTCTTTTTGTCTTGTTTAAAAAAAAGGATACTCTCAATTCAGTCAGGGGTACAGAACAGAGGTGAATTAATGGACTGATCAAATTTTTATACTTTTTAGGACATACTGAAGGGGTTGTAAGTTTGTGTTTTTGTTCATTAAGTGTAAGAAAAACTTGTCAGCCATGTTTTTATTGTTGTTATGATAATTCTCTCTAGATGAGCCTCAACTGCAAAATATAAAATGAATCGATAAATACACTTAAGCTATTAAGTGTTCATACTGTACATCATTAAACATTTGCTCAAATATACTTTTACTTGGGCTATTATCTGGATTATACCATTTTGACCCTAGCAATCTAATGCGTCTTATATTTTTGACCCATTTACTATGTAAACACATTAAAGTACTCTTGTATTCAGATGTGATACGTTATAGATCAGTTTGTAAGAGTTTCAGCCTTAAAATAAGAGTGAATCACCTGTTGAGACACCCTCTTATCTTTTACTCTTTTATCTTTGTTTCTTTATCACTCTTTATTAAATTGAGCTTGGAGATTTACAAATTTTAAAGGTCATTTCCTTCTTTTTTCCTTTCTTTTTTCACAGCAGTTCTTATTAGTCTTTTTAGGAAGATATATTTTGTACTTTGCCTCATTATACAACAAAAAGCTGTGAAAAAATACATTTTACATGACATTTCACAGCATTTTTTGAATTATGAATTGATCAAGAGATTCCTAAAATTAATCTGTCAAAACAAAGTAAGATATTTGAACCCAACATCAATCATCCTGTGTTCAGATTTTACTTTATGCTTAATTATCTAATTTAAGAAGAAGAAGAAGAAGAATAGGCGACGCAATGGTGCAGGAGGTAGTGCTGTCTAAGGTCACTGGTTCGAGCCTCGGCTGGGTCAGTTGCCGTTTCTGTGTGAAGTTAGCATGTTCTCCCCGCGTTCGCATGGGTTTCCTCTGGTGCTCTTATTTCCCCTACAGTCCAAAAAATGCGGCACAGGTGAATTGGATAGGCTAAATTGTCCGTAGTGTATGAGTGTGTATGGATGTTTCCCGGAGATGGGTTGCGTAGGTTTACGCAGGGCATCCGCTGCGTAAAAACGTGTGCTGGATGAGTTGGTGAACTAAATAAACTAAAGTAATCTATCAACTGGGGAAGTAAATAGGTGAAACTAAAGTAAGAAAGTAATCTAAACTAAAGTAATCTATCATCAGGGAAAGTAAAGTAGGTGAAACTAAAGTAATAAAAGTAATCTAAAGTAATCTATCAACAGGGGAAGTAAAGTAGGTGAAACTAAAGTAAAAAAGTAATCCAAATAAAAGAAAACAAAGAAATTTATCAACTGGGAAAGTAAAGTAGGTCAAACTAAACTAGTAAAGTAATCAAAACTAAAGTAATCTATCAACAGGGGAAGTAAATAGGTCAAACTAAAGTAAGAAAGTACGTAATCTAAACTAAAGTAATCCATTAACAGGGGAAGTAGGTGAAACTAAAGTAAAAAAAGTAATCTAAAGTAATTTATCAACTGGGGAAGTGCAGTAGGTTAAACTAAAGTAATGAAGTAATCTAAAAAAAAACTAAAGTAATCTATCAACTGGGGAAGTAAATAGGTGAAACTAAAGTAATAAAGTAATCTAAACTAAAGTAATCTATCAACAGGGGAAGTAAAGTAGGTGAATCTAAAGTAATCTATCAACTGGGGAAGAAAATAGGTGAAACTAAAGTAATAAACTAATCCAAATTAAAGAAAACAAAGAAATATATCAACTGGGGAAGTAAAGTAGGTCAAACCAAAGTTGTAAAGTAATCTAAACTAAAGTAATCTATCAACCGGGGAAGTAAATTTGTGAAACTAAAGTAATAAAAGTAATCTAAACTAAACTAAAGTAATCCATCAACTGGGTAAGTAAAGTGTGTGAAACTAAAGTAATGAAGTAATCTAAACTAAAGAAAACTAAAGCAATCCATTAACTGGGAAGTAGGTAAAACTATAACTTTACCCTAATTACCTGCGGTGTCTTTCCCTTAACCACACCTATTGTTGCCCATTCAAAAGATTCATTATTTAATCATACTCAAAACTGTGTCATGTTGGTCAATACTAAAGAGGATTCTCATGAGGACACCTGATCTCTATAGCTGTATCTTTCAGCGTAGGCTCCCCCTTTCTCCAGAGTGGGCCAGACAGTGAAGCTCTTGTGTTTTTCTGCCCAAACCTTTCTTTTTTTTAACCTCGGGCCTTTATTACCATGGTGACCAGGCGCAGACAGAGTGCAGCCTTGACTTTTTGCTGTAACAAAGGAGAGGAGTTGGGGGAGGCTCTGGGTAGTAGGTGAACTCATAGTAACCACGCAAATCTTGGCTTATCTAGGTTTTGGCCAGCGACTGAAAGTGTAGTATGCATTCTTCTGTTGCTGAAGTTTTGCACGCTTGCTGGAGATGCAGATTGAGACAGAAGATTCATTTTTAATAAAAAAATACATCCTTTTTTAATATTTGGTTTTATATACTGTAATAAAACGTTGACATTACTGTTGAAAATATGACACTTTTGACTTATGACATTATGGTAGAGCTGCACAATGTGTCATTTCAGCATCAATATCGCAATGTGTGCATCTGCAATAGTCACATCGCAAGATACGCAATGTTGAATCTAGATTATAGTTGGCCAGGAGTTAAAGAGATGTTTTTAATTACTGTATTTATGTGGACTTTTTAAGATTTTTATAGTTAATAAATTGTTTCTAGTCCAAATATGTACATTTTAAAGCAAATACAAAATTATATTACCCCACTGGCAGATTGTTTTGTATGTTTTTAGAAAAAAACTCTTAAGACTTTTTTTTATATATATATATTTGGACTAGAAACAAGACAAAGCAAAGTAAGAAAGCATGTTTTGCATTGCTGTTATATCATTCTAAGAGTTCACACTAATCAATAGAGCATAATTGGCATGCTGTCCCGTAATATCCTTGAACCCGGGGCTCCCTCCCATTAGAAGGTCGAGAGGAGAGTTTGAGCTCAGTTAGGACTTGAGAACTCCCCTGCTTGTCGCCACGTGAGAAGTGTAAACTAGGGCTGTCTTGGGTGATAATTTGGTTTAGTCGATTAACTATGGTGTATGTTTTTGAACGTTGGGAGGAAACCGGGGAACCCGGGGGAAACCCACGCAAACATGAGGAGAACATAGAAACTCTGCACAGAAACGCCAACCGGCCCGATAGGAGGTTGGACCAGTGGTGTTCTTGCTGTGAGGCAACAGTGCTGGCTACTAGGCCACCATGTCACCCTATTGCAAAAAAGGGTGAGAAGTAGGGGTGGAAGGGGGGGAACTTCAAGACAAAGATAACTGGAGTGAAAAAACTTTGGTTTTTATAATACTTCCATAATCATCTAATCTGATTACAGCTGATTACAAAGCCATGTTGATCATAAGCATGTGATCGTCTCGAAATTAGTTTATAAATAAACCACACTTCTGGACTTGAATACAGAAGAGCATCAAATAGATCTACTCGAAGTATCTTGTGTAATTATTCAAATCACAATATTTATCGCAGAAAAATAAAGTCACAATATCAGATTTTTCCAATATCGTGCAGCCCTGCATTATAGTTTACAGGCGAGGACGTTACTGAATTTTTCCGGAAAAGACCGTTCACACATTCATTCCAAAATAGCAGTAAATTCTGAAATCATTAACCAGAAATGACCTCTAAACGGCTGGGCTTGTATTTGTAAACATTTGACTACATTACAAACATGATATGTGTGTGTGCTAGCGCTCACAGGCTGCTTCACAGGCACACGCGACGCATCAAGCAACTGAAGGAAGCAGAGCTTGAAGGTAAACTAAAAACAGCTTATCATAAGCATACTATCGATAATTATTTACACAGTTGGCATTAAGAAGGAACATACAGTATAAACATTATCTGACTAACATCTAGCAGCTAAATGTGTCTGGAAAAATATTCAAAGCCTTTTTTTTTCCCATAAACCGCACAGACATGAATGCGTCTGACTGTTCTGATTGGCTAAAGTAGACGTCTCACGTCAGCACGTTCTAGATGTGCACATGCTCTTTCCGGCAATCTTCCTTCTGCGTTTACAAAGAGCAGTATTCCGGCAAATTACCTGTAATGTTACAACGTCTCTTTCCGGAAAATAGCTGGAATGAATTTACCGGTATTTTCAAAAAGGGCCTGTTCACACATACAGACCTTTCCAAAAAATTGTCGTTTTCCGGAAAGGTCTGAATGTGTGAAAGAGGCTAATGTTACTTTACTATTATTAAATATAAAATATTATATATAAAATATAACAACCACACAAGGTGTTTTATATTAGGGCTGTACAATATATCATTTCAGCATAGATATCGCAATGTGATCATTTGCAATATTCACATCTGCAATGTTGAGTGTGGAATATAATTTACCATTTTGAAAGGGTTTTTTAGACCTCTGACTTTGTCAAGGTTTTTAAAGTATTCAGGCATAAGACCGTTTGTAGCTTTGACAAATTATTAACAACCAATTTTATTGAATTCATTATACAACGGCAACACGGTGGCGCAGTGGGTAGCATGATCGCCTTGCAGCAAGAAGGTCGCTGGTTTGAGCCTCACCTGAGTCAGTTGGCATTTCTCTGTGGAGTTTGCATGTTCTCCCCGAGTTCGCGTAGATTTCCTCCGGGTGCTCTGCTTTCCCCACAGTCCAAAGACATGCGGTACAGGTGAATTGGATAAGCTAAGCTGACCGTAGTGTATGTGTGTGAACGAGTGTGTATGGATGTTTCCCAGTGATGGGTTGCAGCTGGAAGGGCATCTGTTGCGTAAAAAACATATGCTGGATATGCTGGATAAGTTGGCGGTTCATTCCGCTACGGCGACCCCAGATTAATAAAGGGGCTAAGTCGAAAAGAAAATAGCTGAATGAATGCTTAAACAACAACTATGAGGTATTATTTTACATTTAATTATTCAATTACTATATACCTGAATACAGATCGACTCCTCTGAAAACAATAAAATGCTGTTTATTTAATTGCTATCTTTTTTTAATTGAATTTCTTTATGCTTGTTAATAGTTTCTTATATTTCATGCACTTCTATATAGAATCCAATTTCCTATATAGTGAAATTGTATTCCTATAGCAATAAATAATCGCAGAATAAAAATATATTGCAATGTTGGATTTTACCAAAAGATTAGAACTAATAGAATTGTGACTTGTAAATATATAAAATATATTTGATATTTTATGTTTTTAAAAACAAATGTGTACAAGAAAACATACCCTATATGCATTTCTGGAGATCACCAAATACATCCCAGGATCTAAGTTTTTTGCAGTTTTTATTTTCGCGAATCCACCAGAGTCCGCTGTGTATGCTTTTTCAGAACGCAAACTTCTCTTGTTAGTGCCATTTGCGCCTGCTGTTCTTGCGTAGATTCACCAGAGCTCGCTGTGTATGCATTTTCAGATATCAGATTTCTCTGGTGAATGCCATTCGCGCCTGCTGTTCTTGCGTATATCCACTAGAGGTCGATGTCGACTGGCCGATCAACTGACCCACCCTGCTCCTTCCCTAAACCCAACCAATAGTGTTTTCAAAAGCACTCAGAGAAACAAAAAGAAAAGCATCACCTGATTTTTACCAAGTTTTCAGATTTTACCTCATTCTCATCCTGTTATTTACTTGTTTATTTTATTTTATGGCTTTTGTTTTTGTTTTACATGCTTTTTGAAACCGTTCTTTGCTGCACTCGAACCCCATCATCGTGGTCAACTCACTGCATCTCAAGTCTGCCACTTTACATGGTGAGCTACAGGACAAACTGGTAACAGTGAGAAAGATATCAATTGTTCAGCTGGTAAGCGAAAACAGGAAAAGCGTCATACCGCCCCGTATCGTTAGTTTTAAAGACGAAATGCAGCCATATGTTTCTCAGGCTACATATTTTTTGATCTCCAAAAATGTATATAGGGCTACGTTATCAGAATGAGCCTATGTTGCAACCTGTAAAAACTAGTGGTTTGAAGGATAGTGGCATTGTACTAACATTTAAGGTGACAATTCATATTGTTTATTAGTTTTTTCTTGTAAATCATGGTGAAAATGTATGACAGTGTTTACTTTTTGCAGTATTACACTTTCTTTCCTACTTTCTTTCTTTTTTTTTGTTTTGTCTTTGATCCATATATAAAATAACTTTTCAGGAATTGTTGTGCTATGTTAAATTTTAAACATGGTTAAAAAATAGTCTTAAAAAACAGTTTGTGCAACATTTAATTATAAATGTGTTTCTATGTTAACATGAACGTACAACTAAGATTACATCTGGCTGTAAGCAGCTTATTACCTGCTTAAAGTGGCACATTTATAGTTGTTGGTCGAGTAGTTTTGATGCACATGTCTGGTTTTGCCCTGTTCGTGACCCCACCCTCGAGCATATGATCTGAAATTAAACAAACGGCATATTTGGCAGGAACTGAAATCTGTGCATTTCAAAGTCAGTGCTGAACAATGGTTGAGATTGAGTTGAACTCCCACGGTCGGGTCTGTAAACAGGGGCTTTGTGTGGACAGACTTGATCCCTGGTGCCGATGTCTCCACTCTTCTCTCTGTTGTCACCTCATACTGATAAACAGCACACTTATTTCAGCACACTGGTTTTATGGCTTGTGGCTTTGGGTAACGTCACTTTGGCCTGTGTGTTAATTGATGTCATATCAGATGTGCTGACCTAAGACATTTAAAGAGACAGATCATCCATGAATACATTTATGCACAATCTTCTTTTTTAAATGAAATAATTAATGTAATTAATATTTTAGTGTAATTATTATTTTTTTAGGGCAGAATTTTTTTTAAATTAATTTTGTTATATATTTATCTTTGTTGAAATTAATACTTGAAATCACCCATTATAACACTTTACATGAATAAAAAATTCATGTTCTTTCTTTCATTCAATCATTTTCTTTTTTGCTTAGTCCCTTTATTAATCTGGTAACCCTACAGCGAAATGAACCACCAACTTATCCAGCATATGTTTTATGCAGCGGATGCCCTTCCAGCTGCAACCCATACCTGGGAAACATCCATACATACTCATTCACACACATACAATTTTATCTTTACCCAATTCACCGCATGTCTTTGGACTTGTGGGGGAAACCGGAGCACCCAGAGGAAACCCACGAGAACATGCAGACTCAGAAATGCCAACTGACCAATGCCAAATGCCAACTGACCCAGCTGAGCCATCGATTCGGTTCAATTGGATATCACAGTGTATTATCAATTCGTTCCATGCACAATTATATTTTACTTCACAGCATAAGAATTGTTGTTTTAAAATTTATAAATATAAATATATTTTTTGTAATTAAATTTTGTCCTTTAATACAAACAGTCAGATATTTGAACTGTACCTTTTAAAACTAAAGTACGTGCACAGAACAACATGAGTATTAATAAACAAACGTAAAATATCCTTCTCTCAGTGGCGATCACAGCTGATTCATGATAGAAAACTTGCTCTGCAGACACGCGCTCATGTCTGTATTCAGATGTAGATCTATAACAGTCGCGAGAGGAGAATAAACAATACCTTACGCCAGCAGGTCAGATGTCCACAGTGTGAGAGAGAGAGAGAGAGAGCGCGAGAGATGAAGTTTACTTTTAGTTTCTCTATATATTGTAATAGGGGCTTCTGCTGTAAACTTCAGTGTCGGTGAAAGAATGTCCAGTAAACACACACGCAGTGAATTGTGCAGAGCTTCTGTGTTTTTAAGTAGTTTCTGCATTTTAATTGCTTGCGCTTGCCTCCCTCGCCACAGTAAGCTACCGCAATATAGCGCATATGTGATAAATGACTTCAGGACATAAAAACCGGTTATGATTATTACTGAAACAATACCAAATTGTCTGCGGTGCACCGAAGAAACACTTAATTTTGACATCCTTATTGTCATCTATATTTTAATAAACTTAATAGGCAGAACTGTCCGAGATATGAACAAAAGCAAGTGATGCATCAAAGTTTAATTTAAAAAAATCTTGAATGGTTCTAAAAATCTTTATAATCATTAAAATAATTTACAAAAATATTTAAAAAATAAAAACATCCCGAACAATATTATTGATATGAAGTAGTTCCGAAAACTTCCTACTTCTATGTTTGTCAATCTGATTTTAAGGTCAATTTCTTTTGATCACCCCCTGTCATTGACAAAAATATCTCAACGGCAAAAGCTTCAAGTATAAAAGCCCTGTCCGTTTCACGAGGTGCGTGTGCACACAGCGGAGGTCTGCGATGTGAGTATAAATCAGCCTTTACAGTTTAGAGTCTGCCACTATGCTGACTCACAGGCATTTACAGCTCCACCCTCTTTTAAAAAAGAGCACAATCTCATTTGAATTTAAAGCGACAGTCACCAAAATGTTGTGCTGAAACTTCAAATATAGTACACACCCTAGGGACATCAGAAACTTAATTTACACATTGTAAAAAGGGGTATAAGTCTATAATACCTACTGAAGCTAAATTTGCACCCGAGTGATGCTTTTCATGTTTCTGCCTTTCTTTTTCAGCAGGTTGCACTGAGAGATGTTTGAGAAACAACCCTACGACAGTCCTCCTAAATACACACCTCCATCCAATGGCTTTGGACCCCCGGGGAGCTTCCAGGACCCTCGGAGTGAATTCGACCCCTACCCTGCTCCACCAGGATCCTACTATGTTGGCGAAGAGGTTCCTCAGCATTTCTACAAATGGTTCTCCCCTCCAGGAATCGTCAAGATTATGATAGGAACCGTCATTGTGCTCTGTTTGGGTATCTTCGCCTGCGTGGCCTCGACTTTGGTTTGGGACATGCAGTATGGATATGGATATGGCTCTGGATATCCTGGATATGGAAGTGGGTACGGATACGGCGGTGGATATGGAAGCTATGGATATGGAAGTGGATACGGAAGTGGATATGGATATGGGAGCTACTATAATTCATATCCAACCCCATACTCTGCGAAAACCAGCATGATCGCCGTCGCCGCAATAAACTTCATCATTGCTTTGGGATTTTTTGCTGCCAGCTTCTCCAAAACAAACACTTTCCGCAGCCGGAAGTTTTTCCTGGCGGTACTTGTTGTCTGTTCAATAATGGCGGTGATTCAGGGCATTATAAACATTGTGTACATCGTAGGAGTGAACCCTATGGCTCAAAGCTCCAGCAGCTCGTATTATAACCCCATGCTCATGATGTGCCAGAACCTCTACGGCAGCAGTGTGACAGGAATGGGGGCCGGATTTCCAGTTTATAACCAGTACTTGTACCACTACTGCTACGTGGACCCTCAGGAGGTACTATTTAAAGCTACAGGATGTTTGCATGTCATTACAGTCTGCAGTTAATTCATGTTTAATGCTAAGGTCTAAAATCAAAGGATCAGGACAGACCATAATTTCAGATCAGCATGTGCAATTTTGGAGTTCAAACTTATTTTAGCAATAAATATAATATTATCCCATAAAGATGTTATTTAAAAAATCCCTTTTTATATAAAGTGGCCTTAACTACTTGGTCAAAAAATAAATACAATGTACTTACTGTGTTCATAATGCATTGCAGAACACTGCAACACTGGTGCTCTTGAGGTGGAATATGAGTATGTTTAGAGACAGGTTTGTTGGTATGGGTAGGTTTAAGGATGGGTTAAGGTGTAAGGGATGGACAACAGTGTAATTATAAATGGTATTACAGAAATTAATTACATATGTAATTACATGCAGGTATTTGATCAAGCATAAGTACAATGTATAATCATGTATTCACACAATAAGTGCATTGCAACAAATACATGTAATTAATTTCAGTAAAGGTGCATATTAGTTAAGGCCACTTATCATAAAGTGGGATCAAAAATGTAATGTGTCCTGATGAGACATCTTACTTTATGATTGGCTAATTTTATTCACATAAACATAAAACATTAAGCATTCATAGACATATTAAATATGGCATATGGAAGTTCAAGCTGCTTGGTGGAGATTAATGATGACAGCTTTCATTTTTGGGTGAACTGTTCTTTTGATAATAAAAAATACAAGAAATTGATTTAATTAAACAAATAGATTTCAATTTTATTAAATATACACCTACATTTGATAAATATGTATTTATAATCACACAAAGAATGTTAAAATTTTTAGGTACATTTTTAAATTTAACCAAAATAAAAATGTAGTCTGTTAATCAAAATGCTTTTAAAATTAGGAACTAGGCTTTTATTATATATTTATTATCTACTTACAATAAAAGCCTAATTTCTAATTTAAAATTGACGAAGCAAAGCTATTAGCTCTCTTATCAGACTCAAATATTTTTTAGGATATTTTCCAAGTCATTTTTCTACAGAACAAAGAAAAATTTCACAGTGCTTCTTCCTATTATATTGTTCAACAAGAGGAAGTATATGGGACGTTCTACCAGAAATGCATATTTTCACTTATAAAATGTAACAGGGCCTGACTTTTAAAGTTGTCCACCTCAAAAAAATCATACAGAAACAAGCATAAAATCATTAAATTCAATGATAGAACGCATCCTTAATCACAGTCAGTTTCAGTCTTAGGGCCCTATCATAAACCCGGCACAATGCGGTGCAAGGCGCGTCCCAATTGTTGTTTGCTAGTTTCAGTTGGACACAAGGGTCGTTTTGACGTTTTGCACCACGCTGTTTAAATAGCAAATGCATTTGCGCTCATATATGTGCCTATAGGCGTTTTGGTCTAAAAAAGGAGGCGTGTTGGGGCGCAATGCTGACACGTTGCTATTTTAGGAAACTAGAACAGACTGTTAAATAGACCAGCTGAGAGGAGGTCTAAAGTCCAGCGCAGAGCACGTTGATTACTGTTATGAGGTAGAATAAATATAGATTGGAGGTGTTTTATAATATCAGAGCTTTTGTATTAATAAAAAGATAGAATAGTAATAATAGCAGGTCAGATGTAGAATAGTAATAATAAATAGAATAGAAAGTAGTGTTAGAGGGTCAACATAATTTTTTTGAGTAGAAAATGGAATCGTTTGTGTCTGGAAAGCATCAAATGTTGATTAAAAACATGCTGCAGTTTCTTGAGAATAACTAAAGATCAACCCAGACAACAAGCAACAAGACTATTTAATTAAACGGCAAAACATATCAAAAGAAGATGCTGCTCAGATTGAACTAGTCATTCACTCAAAACACTTATTTTACTGTTTGTTAAAATGAGTTGAAACAACACAATTATTTAGTTTTTTTGGGACAACCTAATTGTTTTATGTTCAATCCACTTAAAATTGTTGTTAGGACATCATAAAGGAATTGAGTGGAACCCAACATTGTTTACTGTGTTTTACCAGCAGGAAACAGTAAATGTAAAAGTCAGTTGAGGCACATTATGAACATAAACGTTGTGCTCAAATCCTCACCAGAATCCATCAGTTTGAATGAGATCCTGTGAATGAGGTGGTCTCGGGCCGCTTAAAAATTAACTCTGTTGAAGTGAAAAAACACTAATCTGGCTTAGCAAATCATTAAACCAGGCTTTAACACAATGTATGTAGAGTTAAAATGAACACGAAATCTACTGAGAGTGACCTACATTCAGCATATTTTGATCCATGTAGAACTGAATCATTAAAAATCTGCAGCACTGTAACAAATCAAATCTGTATTTCGTAACAAAACGAATCGACAAGTACACTAAGGACAATTTAGCCTGCCCAATTCACCTGTACCACATGTCTTTGGACTGTGGGGGAAACCGGAGCACCCGGAGGAAACCCACGCGAACGCAGGGAGAACATGCAAACTCCACACAGAAACGTCAACTGAGCCGAGGTTCAAACCAGCGACCCAGCAACCTTTTTGCTGTGAGGTGACAGCACTACCTACTGCGCCACTGCATCGCCATAATTAAAATATATCTAATATAAATATAGATTTGACCCCCCATAATGGTTCGTACCATTTTGAATGCATAATCGTGCTAAATAATGCTAGGAAAAATATATAAACTGTCAGTTCTAGAGCACCGATAGACATCTTAAGTATTTACAAAACACATTTCTTTTAAAATAGGTGTTTATATCTGCATGTAGCCTGATAAAAAAAAAATTGACATGTAATAGTATAGTTTGACCGACAGTAACCTCTAAATATAATGTAAAATAATCTCTAATTAGTACCCTGCTTAAAGGGATACAGTAGTTCACCTTAAACGAAACATCTGTCATTATTAACTCATCCTCCATCGGTTCCAAATCTGTTTTTCCTTCTTTCCTCTGTTTTCTTGTAGAAAGCTGGAACCTATAACCATTGGCATCCATAGTATTTGTTTTTTCTACAATGGAAATCAATGGTTTCAGATTTTCAGCATTCTTCTAAATATCTTCATTTGGGTTCAGCACTCATAAAGGTTTTTAACCCCTTAAGGGAGAGTTTTTTTGTTTAAACTATCCCTTTAACAATGTCATTTTGTCTTTCGCAGGCTGTTGCGATGGTTTGTGGGTTCATGGTTATGGTGGCTCTGGCTGTGGCGGCCTTTTTCTCCTACAGGACCAGAAGTAAGATCTGGCAGTATGGCAAACCAAACATCTACTGGGATCGACCTCTGATGGCAGGAACGGAGGGCAGAGATGTGGAGGACTGGGTGAGTCTCCTTATTACCAGTTAGTCTGGGAAACACACGGTCACTAATTAAATGGCACACCCAGATCATAATTACATGAAGTGTCTTGCCTGAGAGGATGAAAAATGAACGTCCGGAGTCCAGCTTTTTGCTGGCTAAAGCAAACAACAAGCATCCTGGCGGTGTTAAATCCATATATTTAGGTGCACATATATTTACAGTATCTATCTATAGTCTATTAAAGGGATAGTCATCCAAAAAATGATCTTTTACTCAATATTTATTCACCCTCACTTTGTTCCAAATCCTTTATAAGTTTCTTTCTTTCATTTGAATACTAAAGAAGATATTTTGAAGAATGTTAAAAACCTGTAACAACTGACTTCCATAAAAGAAACAGTAAATATTTTGGAAGTAAATTGTTACAGATTTCCAGCATTCAATTCCAGAATTCCAGAATTCAACAGAAGAAAGAAAGTCAAACAGGTTTGAAACGAGTAACGGATGAGTAAATGATGACAGAATTTTTTAGTACTATCCCTTTAAGGCTTTTGTTTAGGTAGACTGGGAGGTGTGTTTTGAAATCATAAAGTTCCTTAATAGTTTCAGTGGCCTGTGCAATACTGGCGATAATTCAGTCACAAGGTTGAAAGTGTTGCTGATATGGTCTGTTTGTTAACAGCCAGCCTAGTTTCGCTGTGATTGATCATTAACCAAACTGAGAACGTTGTGAGGTTTTAAATTTCTCAGGTGGATGACGATGAACTGTGAAACTTTTGATAACTCCAGTTGTATGTTTAATACCAAAGGGGTTGGAAAGCATGCTTGAATTTGCATTTGCTTAGAGCAGGGGTGTCCAAACTCAGTCCTGGCGGGCCGGTGTCCTGATGAGTTTAGCTTCAACTTGCTTCTACACACCTGCCAGGAAGTTTCTAGTATCTAGTAAGAGCTTGATTAGATGGTTCAGGTGTGTTTGATTAGAATTGGAGCTAAACTCTCCTGGATATCAACCCTCCAGGACCAAGTTTGAACACCCCTGGCTTGGAGTTTATTGAGTTAAATGAATGTATAAGTACGCATCGTTATTAGAAATAATTTTAATGATTAAGACTGATACTAATATTTAAAGTATGTGAAAAATTATTTACATAGTTGTGATGTTCACAGTGTATTTCAAATCTCATATACCCAAAATATAAAAACAATACGCCTTAATATGTACTTAATGGGGCAGAAAATATATATACAAATATGTTAATTTAGTATTTTAAATAATGTTTGCATATTTAGATTGACAATATATAAAAACATGCTTAAATTAAAAATGTAAACATGTTAAATATATTCATTCATTCATTTTACTTCGGGTTTATTCCCTTTATTCACCAGGCGTCACCACGGCGGAATAAATCACCAACTTATCCAACATATGTTTTACAAAGCAGATTCCCTTACAGCCGCAACCCAGTACTGGAAAACATCCATACACACTCATTCACACACATACACTACGGCCAATTGAGTTTATTCAATTCACCTATAGCACATGTCTTTAGAATGTGGGGCAACCGAAGCACCCGCAGGAAACCCACGCCAACACGGGCAGAACATGCAAACTCCACAAATATGTAGAAATATATTTTAAAAATGGTTTTTGCAAATCTAAGTGGATTTTGATTTTAAAACTGCTGGAATTACTGTAGATGGATACTTGTTTACAATGTACACTGCAAGAATTACATTAAACTGGCTTAAATTAAGATAAATCTGTTTAAAACTTTAAAAATGAAGTTGAAACCTTGATTGGATGAATTTTAATAAGTCAAAATTATAAAAACATGTCATCATGACTTGTTGATGATATCTTATTTTCACAGTATGTTCTGAAAATGTGATATTGCGTTCATCAGTAAATTCTCTTCACCAATTATGCGGGCACTGTTATCATACTGATTATTTTATAATGAACGCTGTGTTTCGATGATGCTGTACATTTGTGCTGTGTAAGAGAACATGAGTCATGACGTATGTGTGTGTGTGTGTGTGTGTGCCCCACTCATTAACACTGCATTACTCATCGTGACGCTTCTTATTTGATAAGGGAAGGCAATCTGAACAGGTGCACAAGCAATTCAAAAGGTGTTTGAGTTTGAACTACATACGATTTTAAACAGGCACTGAGCAGCCTCAATGAGACTTAAAATTTTTAATTAATTTACTCATCACTTGTCCCAAACCAGTTTGAGTTTCTTTGTTCTGTTCAACAAAAAGTAAGATCTACTGAAGAATGTTGAAGGAAAAAACAGCCATTGACTTCCATAGTATTTATTTGTTCCTACTATGGATGTCGATGGTTACTGCTTTCCACCATTCTTCAGAATATTTTTTTTTGTGTTCAACAGGAGAAAGGAATTAATTTTTTTGAACCACTTAAGTGTGAGTTACAAATGTCACTGTATAATTAAACAATATGCATCTACTGTATGGCACTGCTTATATGCGGTTTTTACTTTTTTTCTGTTGGATCAAAAATATTACAGACTGTGGGTTGCAATATGTTTTTTTTTTTTTTTGCTTTTTTTTTTTGCTTCTTTAGAAAATATGAAAAGGAACATTTTGTTTCTTTGTATCTATTGTCATTGTTTTTCTTTAGTGCAATGATTGACACATCTGTTCACTAACTAACAGCCATTCAGTGTAATAACATAGTGCTGTAGCTTCAAACATGCCAGCTCTTCCTTCAATTTCTCTCTCTCAACAGAGAAAAATCAATGTCAGAGCAGTTTTTTTTATAAGGTAGCTGTTTTATAAGGTAGAAAAAATACATAATGCTTCTCCTTATTGCTAATCTTGCTCACAGGTGACCAGAGATGAGTGGATAGTGTGTGTGTCTCTATGTTTGTTGCAATTTGAAGATACACAATTTGGGCATACACAATCACTCTCTCTCTAGGTTACCTGCGGGATGGTGTTTTTTTTAGCTTCACATACATTTTTTTAGCTCAAGTTGTATATTTTTAACTAGCGCAGATTATTTTGAACTTGTACAGAACTTGTATTTGAGGCAAGTTAGACGTGTTCAGACGTTCCCATCATTCTCGCAACCCTGGTGGAAATTATTTGTTTTTGCATTGACTTTTTATGTAATTTACTCTTATGGATACTTATGTTGCTTACCAACTTATTGATTATACAAAACTGATAATGAATAATATTGGTGATGATGATTAATTTAAATTTATTAAATGATATTTGGCTTGTTTTGGGCTTGTTTGTGTTTTTGTCTTGTGAGAATTGACAACAAATACAGCCCTGTAGTGCACCATTGTTGTTTTGGTTATACTTAAAGGTATAGTTAACTCAAAATGAAAATTGCCTCACTTTCCCTCATGTGGTTTAAACCTTTAAGCATTTCTTTCTTCTGTTGAACCCAAATTAGATATTTTGGTAAATGCAGACTGGCAGCACTGATTGACTTCCATAGTAGAAAAAAAATGATGGAAGTCTACTAGCATTCTTCAAAATATCTTCTTTTGTGTTCAACATAAGAAAGAAGCGCAAATAGGTTTTCAAAAGTGAAGGTTGAGTAAAGGATGACAGAAATACAATCTGTGGGTGAACTGTCCCATCCCCATGCATGCCTATAGACACAACACAGCGGGGAAAGTAAGTATTGATCACGTCATGTTTTTTTTTTTCCTGGGAATATTATTTCTAAAGGAGCTATTGACATGGAATTGAACCAGATTCAAGTGAAAACCCAAACAATACAAACAAAAAAATAAAACAAAACCAAAAAAATCTGAACAATAATAACAATGTCACAAGGAGAAAGTACTGAACTACTGAAATGTATTTAATACTTTATATAAAAGGCTTTTTTGGTGATGGCAGCTTAAAGACGCCTCTCAAATGGAAAATGAAGTCACATGCATTGGTCATGTGAGATTTTTTTAAGAGTGTTAAAATTTGATGGCTCTGGGGGTCTCGTCTATCAAATCTGATCTTTAATTTTTATGTTCTATTGGATTTAAGTCAAGTGATTGGCTGGGCCATTCTACAGCTTGATTTTCTTTCTCTGAAAGCGTTTGAGAGTTTGCTTGGCTGTGTTTTGGATCATTGTCTTGCTGAAATGTCCACTCTGGTTTCATCTTCATCATCCTGCTAATGTAGATGTTGGACTGAAGTAGTGGATATTAACTTACACTGATGAAGAGCAAATGGTTGCTGAAGAACTGCTGAGAGATTTCAGCTGCATTCTGGCTTTCACTGCGTTACTACACCTCCCTTTCTTCATGTGTTCAATACTTTTTCCCTGTGGCATTTCATTTTATTACATGTAATTTAATTAGTAAACTAATTAGATTTGATTTCTTTGCATAAATAGATTTCTTTGGTTGTTACCAACATCTGGGGAAAATTTCAGGTCAACAGCACCTTTAGAAATATGTTTTAAAAGAAAAACGATGACATTTTCAACACTTATTTTCCCCGCTGTATGTAATATGCAAGAGCATGAAGACACTGTGTTTCACAAGATCATGTTTTTGCTGTTTGCACATAACCAATAATGATAAAATTTTCTAAAATCTGTTGTCATATGCATAAATGATTAGAAAGTGCTTTATTGAAGACGCTGTTGTGCAAACAGCCCCCTGTAAAGCAATAAATAAGCAACCTCTAAGCAATAAAGCTTTGGTTCAAGTCTGCAGGATAATGACCCCGTGTCTGGCAGTGGAAGCTCAGTGGGGTGTGGTTTGATTTTGGATTAAGTCCATCGGAAACATAATTACACCATCATGAGACCGGCTTGTGCCTTGAGTAGATCTATGTGCTCTGACAGCGCTCCACTCACTCCCTTTGAATACCTTTCTCTCATCGTCTTTTTATCTCCACTTCACTGTTTTCTGGTGCGAAAGGAGGTCACGAGCACGAAGCGACCCTCTTTTCTGTGTTCTCAAGCATTCTTTCGCTGCTTATGTAGCATGATCACGGATCAGCGGTGGCAGCGGCTCATGCAGGGAAAGCATTGTTGGAATTCCTGGATGACTCCGGCTCTTCCACACAGTGGCTTTTCCCTTCTCCCCAGCTGCAGGAAAACACTCCTCCACCCTCTTTCCTGCTGCGTCCTCCAGCGAACACACACATAGAGCTAAACATACTTCCCTCACACTACAAAATAAACACATCGAAACACACACCTGCTCTCATTGTTTTAGCGGTCAACTGCTCAGCATTGTTTTTGCCTGTTGTATCCACGCTGTTCAGATTACTCCAAACTATTGTGGAAGCATATTGCTTCAGAACATTTGAGTAAACGCATTCATTCGGTTTGCTTTAGCTTTAATTATGAGGGGTCACCACAGCAGAATGAACCGCCAACTTAACCAGCATATGTTTTACACAGCGGATGACCTTTCAGCTGCAACTCAGTACTGGAAAACATCTATACACACTCATTCACACACGTACACTACGGCCAATTTAGTTTATTCAATTCGCTTATTGCACGTGTTTGGACTGTGGGGGAAACCGGAGCACCTGGAGGAAACCCACGTGAACATGGAGAGAACATGCAAACTCCACACAGAAATACAATCTGACCCAGCCAAAACTCAAACCAGCAACTTTCGAGCTGAGGAGACAGTGCTAACAACTGAGCCACTGTGGTGCCCATTTTAGTAAACAAACTCATTTATTTTCAGGTTAGTAGAACCATTATGTTTTGTACTTCAAACCTCCAACAACATGTTTGTGAGGAGTGGTACGACATGCAGATTAATTTCCTTATAGGCACAAATCATTAATCCTGAATCTTCACATTAGCACTCACCTTAAGCCTAGTTCACACTACATGACTTTAAACATCGGCAGATCGCTGTGAGATTCACACTACATGACTTGATTTTGTGTCTTTTAATCTGTGTGGTGTTTGCACTATGCGACACTATGTAAATAATCCACAAGAGGGGAGTCATACAGTACATCATCTGACAGCAACTCGTTCCCCAACAGCTCAATCAAGTTACCAAACCACAGCCAATGAAATTTCGAGGGAGGAGCCATCAGAAAAACTCAACACTATTGGCTGCTTGTGTGCTTACAATGGAACTGTGCTTACAACTGATCTGAACATTTCTACCCTTAATTACCATATCGGTCAAAATGACTGCATGCAAGTCTGCTACTTTTCGCTGTGACTTTAAATATGCGTGCCGTTTTTACCTAGCAACTTCCTGCTAACATAACTATCTGATAGCAAAAACATAAATTTACTTCAGATCAGATATATCTTTCAAAACAGCATTTTCTGTGCCGCAAAATGGCTCCTGTTTGAAAGTGAAAATGAAAGCGAGGCCTAGACCTTAGCATGTTCTAGTATCTTAACTACATATTTATAGGCTGGATTACCAAAAATAAAATATTATTTAAGGTAATGGTGTCATAAAATATGATGATACACATTCAAAGCTTAATTTTAATATCTCAATAGAAGTTATGAATTTAAATATGACATGAGAATATGGCGTTTTATATAAGAACGCTCAGAATGAATGGCATGGTAATTCTAGTTTTACTGTTAATATAGCCTACTCTCATGTCTGTGTTAATGGAGAATGAAGCGAGTGCATTGATGTCCATTCTGGCCAATCACAGACATTAATGTTGAGCTCCTGAGCAAAACGGGCATTCAGCTCATGCTGATATGCTCTCTCATTGGCTGCAGCTCGTCACTACATCTGACCACAAGTGGGGTCGAGCCAGCCCACTGCTCTGGAATATTCAGCATGTTAGATACTGGATTTCAGTCTGCAAGGTGTCAGCAACGAGTCAGCAAGCCTCTTTGCTGCGTTCAGTAGTTCACTCAAAACTATTAACTAATCAGTGTTTCTCAATGTTAATATTGAGCAGAAACTTAATTTCAACACTTTTATTTCCCTATACTGTACATTCTGGTGCAAAACATGGTGGGTATTAGAAATTATCTTCTACTAAATCAGATAACCTTAAGGGCATGCTTACATTGGGTACAGTTGTCTTGAACTGTGCCAAAGTGTGCTTGTCCTCCCTCCCCTCTCCCTGATGGCCTGCACTCACACTGCATCTTTACCTTCCAAGTTGAGGCACGCTTACATTATCGATGATGCGACTGTTCAGTTTAGTCGTTTGGGATGCAGTGACACACAGTCAAATATTTTGCACATGATTAAGACAAAATGTCTTATTTCAAACCTGGAACTTTTGTAGCACGTTCCATTCGTACTCGCATTCATACTGTATAGAACAGACTTTTCTAATGGTCCAGTAGTAAAGTCAAATTCAAATGCAGTACCTACTGAGTAGTAGGCAATTTCAGATGCAGCCATGGAAAATGTGCAGAGCTGGTGGTCCTCCAGGACCATGAGAAACACTGCCTTAATACATTAACAGTTTGAGTTTACATAACGTAATTCTATTAGGTACAATGAACTGTTTAAAAGATTGGTTTAACTGACTAAATACGGCCACTCCTTTCAACTTTCTGCTTTATAAATAAACATGAATAGGGTGTTTTTAACAGTAAATTGTGCTAGAAGTCTTAACTATTGGCATTGTGTGCTGGTCACTCGCTTACATGTGGAGAACATCCTCTGAAGTCAGACCTGAACAGGAAGAGCGGGAGCACTTTTGCTTCTTATTCCCTACGGGCTTTCCTGTTCACCGGCAGAAGAAAAATAAAGGCTGAACAATAGATCTTGGGTTCTGGGTTTGTGTAATGCTCTGAATAGATTGTGGAGCAAGACAGATTTATGATGTTAATGGTAAAAGTGTACTTTTTTTGTTCAAACATTAAAACAATATACTTGAGTTTCTTTCAGGGAGGTACTGGATATGCTTTTACTTAATTTTTTCATTTATTTATTTTTTTTAATGTAATTTAAAATTAGAAGTGTAATTTAAGGCAGTGAATAATGTTACAAAAAAGTATAATTTAAATACCCTTTAAACTTCCTATTCATCATCTATTACTGAAAAATATGGGTAGATATTGTAAATAAAGTAAGCTGGGGTTTTTTTCAGTTGATATTAAGAAAACTTTCTTAAGCACCAATCAGTTCAAGCTTTCCACCAAAGCAATACTTCTATTTCAAGTAAAAAAAAATGTGTATAAAAAAAGGACAATGTTTATAATTGTATAGACCTCAATAATCATTAAGGTTTATCATTTATAATCTGACCCATAGTAAGAAGGTCGCTGGTTCCACCTGGATCAGTTGGCGTTTTTGTGTGAAGTTTGCATGTTCTCCCCCTGTTCACATGAGTTTCCTCCGGATGCTCCAGAACATGCAAACTCCACACAGAAATGCCAACTGACCCAGCCGGGACTCGAACTAGCAACCTTCTTGCTGTGAGATGACAGTGCTAACCATTGAGCCACTGTGTCACCCACAATTCCTCCAACAAAAATAAAATCTATTTATTGTAAAAAAAACAAAAAAAAAACAAACACTAATCTGTATTTCTTATCTTTTTTGACTGTTAATGATAATTCTCTTCTGAAAGCCACTTTGGATAAGAGTATCAGCTGAATGACCATACATGTCGAAATAACCTCAAACAATCTCTTAATAAAACACTTTCGCCTGTCATTATCTGAAAAATGTTGTTCCTGATGTTTTGCACGTCAGACTCAGATATGCATCAGACGTTGACTTTGTACTAAACAGGAAGTTTGTTCTTTCCAGGTCAACCATGTACAGGATGGACAGAGTATTCAGGAGGCCTCCATGGTGTTTTCAGAAAAAATGTCTCCTGTTCTGGCTTCGGCTCCCAGTGTGGGCTCCATTCCTGCAAAGACTGGCAGCGTCTTCAGCTCAGAGAACCACAATGTTATCGGGTAAGTGATTAAGTGAGCGAGTTAGTGAGTAAGGGATTGACCAAACCAGTGGTGTAGACAAAGAAATAACAAAAGTCAAAGTTTCTTTAAATCATTAGCAATAGCATATATATATATATATATATATATATATATATATATATATATATATATATATATATATATTTATATATATATATATATATATATTTATTTATTTATTTATTTATTTATTTATTTAATTATATATTCATTTTATTTAAGAATTTTAAATTAATAAAATGTTTGACTAATATGGTTCTGAATGACAAAAGGAAACAGCTGCAATGAGGAGGAAAGTGCAGAGGAAACAGTAGATGAGGAAACCAGTCTGCGCCATTTTCACATCAAATATAAAGGAGACTGGGAAGATAATTTAGTAGTGTACAGTTCTTGAGCTAATCGCAAAACTTTTAGGGGGACTGAATAGAAATATAGGGGTTTAATAATGTTACCTGAATGTTTTAGCTAGACGTCATTTAGTTGCCTTCATCTTTGAAAAACTCTCATGAAATGTTCTTACAGCTGCTGTGGTCATTAGAGGGTGGGAAATGTTGCAAGTTTAACTAAAAATGCACCAATTGCAACAAATTAAAATGTGAGTTAAAAAAAAATCATTTGTTATTCAGTTAAAGGGGATGCGAATGCACGTAAATTAGGAAAGTCTAATCAGCAAAACAAGTGAGTGTACACTTATAATCACAAGTAAAAAGTAGGCATATGGAGTATACATTCCATGCGTATGGCTCCGACTACACCACTGGACCAAACCCTGGGAGAGATGGAGACTTTCAAGATGAGCTCCATATATAAATTGGCAATATTGCTTGTGCGAGCTGAGGAAATGATGAAGCTTTAGACTTTTAAAGTTTATTGCCTAAGGCCTTAATAAGTCATTTAGAATCACATTCAACTTTTTGATGCTAAAACTTTCTAATGCTCTCCAAGGAAACATTCATTCATTCATTTTCCTTCAGCTTAGTACCTTTATTCATCAGGGTTCGCCACAGCGGAATAACCCATCAACTTATACAGCATATGTTTTATGCAGCGGGTGCCCTTCTAACAGCAACCTAGTACTGGGAAACTAACGGCCTAATTAGTTTATTCAATTCACCTGTACGCATTTCTTTTGGCTGTGGGGAAAACAGGAGCACCCAGAGCTTGCAAACTCCACTCAGAAATGCCAACTGACCCAGCCGGGGCTCAAACCAGCAACCTGGTTAAAGACAGTAATATTGTGAAATATTATTAGCATTTAAAGTTATGTTTAGCTATTTAAAATATTTGAAAAATAAAGATGATCCTACGATGGCAAAGCTTAATTTTACTGTAGTCTTCTCCTTTAATACACTGATTTTGTGCTCAAAAACCTTTATTGTTGTTAGGGATGCACTGATAGTGGCTGATACAAATTTCAACTAAAAACATTTGGCCAATTACGATACTGATATTGGTCAGTTGCATTAGTACTACACTTGATGTTTTTTTTCTCCATTTAACATTAAACTATCCTAAATTTAAGAGAGGCACAAGTCATGTGAGAGGCACAAAAACATAAAATAATACAATCTTCAAAGGTGATTTTTGCTTTTTTTTTTTTTTTTTTTTTTTTGGGGTGGCATGGTGGTGGAGTGGGTAGCGCTGTTACCCTACAGCAAGAAGGTCTTTAGTCGAGCTTCAACTGGGTCAGTTAGCATTTCTGTGTGGAGTTTGCATGTTCTTCCCATGTTCACATGGGTTTCCTCTGGGTTCTCTGGTTTCCTCTACAAGTCCAGAGACATGCGGATTAGGTGAATTAAATAAACTAAATTGTTTGTAGTGTATATGTGTATATCCTGGTCCTACATGTTGGGGGTTGAGCGTTGGGCTAACGACCCACCACATAAAAATGACATGTTATGAAACACCAACTTGGTGCGGCTAAATATAAAATTTTATATAAACAGTCCTGAAAATAAGTAAGTAAATTTTCTTTTAGCATCATTACCATTTATTTGATATATAATAAATCATATTTAATAAGTATAACTAATAAAGTGATTGTTGCTAAATCAAAATTATATATTATGCTGATCCAGAAAAATACAATTTTATACCAAACTTGCTTGCCCAATCTGACATCTGACATTTGTTTCATATTAGATTTTCTACATTATATTTTGTATTTTTTTGCAATTATTTTTTCATTTTGTTTCCGAGAAAGACATTGGACTATTCAAAACACATGCAGCTCATTGTTTCAGTGTAATTACTGCGAATCAGGATTAGCCTTTATTTATTATTGCAAATATGCTTATAGCTTTAAGTTAATCTAATATAAGCCTATAAATATCAGTGGCCAATACATCAGTGCATCCCCATTTATTAGTTTATAACTATGTAAAAGTGATAAAAGTATTTGATTTCTTTAATTTTTTAATAAAATAAAAAATCATGCAGACCCCAGCCACAGTGTTCAGTAAAGACATTCATTTATTCATTCATTTTCTTTTCGGCTTAGTCCTTTTATCAATTCGGGGTCACCACAGCGGAATGAACCGCCAACTTATCCAGCACATTTTTACGCAGCGGATGCCCTTCCAGCCGTAACCCATCTCTTGGAAAACATCCACACACTCACTCAATAACACACATTCACTATGGACAATTTAGCCCACCTAATTCACCTATACCGCATGTCTTTGGACTTTGGGGAAAACTGGAGCACCCAGAGGAAACCTACGCAAATGCAGGGAGAACATGCAAACTCCACACAGAAATGCCAACTGACCCAGCCGCGGCTCGAACCAGTGATCTTCTTGCTGTGAGATGATAGCACTACCTACTGCAGCACTGCGTCGTCTCAGTAAAGACATGTACAGCTTTATTAGTCTCCACATTAACACATCTTCCTTTTTTATTAGCGATTTTTGTTTTTAATTCCGCAAGCTTATTAAACCAGGATGAATTCTGACTCGATGTTAACATTTTTTATCCTTAATCAGGTTAAAGAAAAAGAATAGTTGCTAAAACCTAATGTAAATGTTCTTATTTCATAATAGTTGCTTTTCTTTACATGTATTTTTATTATAGTTTATTTTCTGTGTAAAGAAGCTTTTCTCCTGATTTGAACTGGTCTGTAGCCTTTATGCGACCTTTGTTAGGTAAAGTTGGATCATCAAGTGCTTCTGTTCTTTCATTATTTGTCTGGTCCATTAATCCGGCTAATGGTCTGAGCCATTATTTTATGAAGTCAGGTCAGATTACACCAAATATGACGTGTCATCGCCTGAGATTATTTTTTTGACCAGTAGTTGTCCACCTACATGTCTGTCTCCGCCTTTCACTGCATGGCACACCAAGCTTAGATGAAACTGATTTAAATTTATAATTTAATTATTATACTTTTTTCTTTTTTGAAGAGAGCTGAAAACCTGTAACTATTGACTTCCACAGTTGAAAAACAGATGCTACAAAAGTCAATTGGTACAGGTTTTCACCCTTTTTTTTTTAAATGCGTTTGAAACAAGTAAAAAGTAGGTGAATTTTGGGGTGAATTATCCTTTTAAATACACACATCTTGACTCAGTTTTCTTTTCAGAGTTTAATACTGCAGCAGTAACAACTGTTTTTCATCCTCAGTTACCCGGAGCGCTCTTTCAGCCGGCCGTCTCACTGTACATCCCCATCTAGAGAAGTGAGCTCCAGCCCATCCGACCAGACAGACACCATCCGCAAACCCTCTGCCGGCAGGGGCAAGAGGCGCAGGAGGAACCCTGAGCTGGACGAGTCCCAGTACGAAACCGAGTACACGACCGGAGGAGAGACCGCAGACGACTTTGACCAGGATCTGTGGACACGGTAAGAGTTTGCTCCCATTCTCTGCTCAGGGAGCCCAGCGTCACGGAAGTTTACAGGAGATTAACATCTCTGGCATGCTAACGTAATAGACTAAATTTGGGTTATTGTGTCAAAGGTCTTTGAATTTGTTGTTTGAACGGGTTGTTTACTGTGGTAAGTTAAAAAACAGATGGGGTTTCACTCATTGTTTGAAATACAGTATGAATTTAGACAGGGAAATATCTGATGTGATGTGTCTTAAGTGTACAGATTTGGAAATAATTAAACTTTCCATTAATGTACACTTTGTTAAGATATGACAATATCTGGAATCTTAGGGTTCAAACTATATTGCATGTTACGAAAATACACATGTACAAAATATATTCATGGAACATGATCTTTAATTAATATTCTAATATTTTTTTGGCATATTTGGCACACATTTTTGGCCTAAAATATACCCATGCAGCATAACATGCAATTTTGCTGTCCAGGGTCACAAATAAGATAAAATAAAACCAACAAAATAAATAAAATTAAAATAAAATAAACAAGTATGAACTTTTAAAAATGTTTAATTCATTAAATAGTATAAACAATGGACAGTATATTTTAACAGCATTTATAATTTTTTTTATTATTGCCTAAAATATGCCCATGCAGCATAACATGCAGTTTTGTTGAAATAAAATTAAATTAAATTAAATTAAATTAAATTAAATTAAATTAAATTAAATTAAATTAAATTAAATTAAATTAAATTAAATTAAATTAAATTAAATTAAATTCCCAGAGATGGGATGCATCTGGAAGGGCATCCGCTGCGTAAAAACTTGCTGAATAAGTTGGTGGTTCATTCCGCTGTGCGACCCTGGATTAATAAAGGGACTAAGCCGAAAAGAAAATGATTAAATTTAATTTAATTTAATTTAATTTAATTTAAATTTTTTATTTATAATTAAAATTTAATTAAATAAAAATAATAATAAACATATGAAATAAAAATAAAGTAAAATAAACAGTCTGAACTTTTAGAAATGGTTAATTAATTAAATAATATAAACAATGTACAGTATGTTTTTACAGCATTTATTATTTTTGTTAAACTCATCAGCCTGTTAGTAGAGTCTTGAAAACCAGAAATATATTTGCCTTTAGAAACAGGGATATGAAACGCATCATTATCTGATGATAAAATGTATTAGTTACTGCTGACATTTACATTCATATTCATGAATGATGTGGAAGTATTGTTTATTGTTAGTTCAGTTCAGAAACACCACAGCATAAAATGTTACTAAAATAAACATCTAAAGCTAAATCTGAAAATGTCTGACTACATTTCCTTAGCCTCTAACAACATGTCTGTCAATTATGCTGTTTTACACAATTTCTCTGCAAATCATATAGATTTGCTAATGGTAGTATTTCCCTCAAGTAAAACTAAATTCAGGTATTTATATTTTTTATGTTAGAAAAATTTTGGCAAATAGGGGGTTTTAATGTAGTAAAATTGGAGTAATTGTGCAATTTCAACTGAACAGAATTTCTGTGGATTATATTTATTTGTGAAATTCACAAAATTACTGTTTTACTGTTTTGTATTTACATAAGCAACATTTCTGCCAATTATGTTTTTAATTCCAAGTAATTAGTTACTTAGTTTACTTAAAAAGTGGGTTAACTTGTAACTGATCATTTATAATTATTATAATAAAAATGTATTTATCATTATGTACATAATTCATTTACTTGAATTTTGCACATTTACATTATTACTTCATAGTTCATTTATAGTTTTAAGGCAACAGGTTTACTCACTTTGTAAAGAAAAGTCAACTAATCTCTATAAAAGCAACAAGTTTACTCAGTTTTTTAAGTAAAGTCAACTAAACACTTTTTTACAATGCACCACTGTCTGAGGTCATTTTCAAGCTGCTTTGTGATGGTCGCTGTCACAAATTTGCAAGTTTTAATGAATCTTGAAAATCCGCATGGGGAATCTTTACACTCACACAACATCTTTGATAATGTGTTTTCCTGCTTTATCATGTGAAGAGTTTAGATATAAAAGCCTGCATTTATATCAGGCTCCTTTGTGTATGTTCAGTAAAATCACTTTTAAGGCAAATAATAATCCTTTTCCTGGTCTTTAAAGTAAAATATCTCAACTTAAACAAAGGAGGCTAAGAACAATGTTCAATTTAATGTAAATTTCAGGAAGCACTTAGTGGATTTTGCATCTGAACTCTTCATGTGTTCCTGACTGGATTCTGCAGGTATAATATCTGTGAACAGCAGCAAATGTGAGCACCTTTTCTGGGTTTATAGGTGTATTTTATGGTGTTGCAACTGGTTATCAGTTCAAATTCCACAGCAGTTAATCCATCAAATACCAGCATTCAGGGTGCTTAACTCTAGCTTACTCTTAAGGGGTTATTGCCAAAAATCTGTTTCTCTGAATAAATTCTATCAACTACTGTAGATAATTAGAAAAGACAATACTTCCATGTTAACTGTCCTCTGTTTGATTCCCTCTCAGTCTGTATCCGGAGATCACATCTGACCCCCAGCGACACGACTATAAGAAAGAGTTTGACACAGACCTCAGGTCCTACAAGGAACTCTGTGCTGAAATGGATGATATCAACGACCAGATAAACAAGCTGAGCAGAGAACTGGACACCCTCGATGAGGGAACGTCCAAGTATCAGGTGAGCGGCTCAAACATTTAGCCTAAATCTGTCTTTTGATGCAGTTTTAGAGTTTATTAGTTTATTACAGTGGTTCTCAAACTTTTTTTCCCCCAAGTACCACCTCAGAAAGAAATTATCTCTCCAAGTACCACCATAACGACGGGTATTAAAATACAGTAGCGTAGTAGGCCTAATTAAGCAGCTACAGCACTGCACCACAGTTCAAAAAATGTGGCAGATTAATTCTTACTATTATGAATATTTGTTATTGTCAGCCATTTTAAACATTATAAATAGTTTGAACATTAACACTGCACTGTGCTTGCAAATAAACAATAAATAAAATGTGCTTTTAAAAGTTATTTAAAAATGGCACTGTTCTTAAAAAAATGGAAACTAAACATAACATATTTTAAATGTATGATTTAAATGTACATGTTTAAATTAGAAACTAGATCTGCTTACTGTGTGTTAGACTTTGTGTGTCAGAAAGCAAGTCATTAATCCGTACCGGTCAACATTGGGATATAAAAATACGGGATACCCCTCCAGCAACTTTTACAAATATTGAGAGGAAATTAGCTTCAAATGAGAGAATGCATAAGCATTAGAAAACTGAAAATTAAATAAAAGGTTTTGCCTATTAAAATCAATTTACTGACCACATTGGTGTTATCGTACGTGTCAAAGGGTTAAAAGTGCTAATTTTTTACTTTAATTATTCAGCTTTTCCTCTGTGTACCACTAAAAGGAGGCCTGTGTACCACTAGTGGTACACGTACCACAGTTTGAGAACCACTGGTTTATTAGATTGACATAACAGTTGAATCCAAATTGCATTTAATTTGTTTTAAAAAAATGTAATGCATAATTTCATCACGTTTATACACGGATTAAATGGGCCAGATTGATTTCTCAATATCAGCACTAATAAATGATGTTTTCTGCTAACTGGAATCACCAATAAAACATTGTTCCATATACATTTTTTCCTATTTTGTCTTAAATATATTGTTATTACTATAATTATTGAAATGTTGTGATATCATTTTGGGGCTATATCGCCCACCCATATTGTATATTTTGAGCTGAAACTTCACAAACACATTCTGAGGACACAATAGGAGATCTTAAATAGTTCAAATCTATATGACTGACCTTTGTAATCTGGCGTTACAGGCTGTTGCAGAGGAATATAATCGTCTGAAAGACTTAAAACGGGTGAGTCACGATCTTCAGTCAGTTTATCAAACCAAAATAGGACTGACTCATAGTAACAGATGCTGTTCTTTTTTGATGCTAATGCAAAGCTTTCTTCCTCTCATTCTCTTTCCTCTCAGATGCCGGATTATCAAAACAAGAAGCATCAATGTCGCAAACTGCGCCACAAGCTCTTCCATATTAAACGAATGGTCAAGAACTACGACCGCCGTCAATAATGAGCTCCATTAAACCAGCACCTGTTTTCCTTTTTCACCACCTTAGCATTAAACTAATCATGGGCGGCCATGACGAAGCCTTCAGATCACTGTGACCAAAGTTTCCCCTAACAATGGCTTCACTCGGTGCTTATGATTAACCTAAAGACCGTTGCATTTCAGTAAACCAGGACCAAAAGCGGTCAACCCAACGTATTTTCCATTACCCGGAGCTTGTTCTTTCACTGGAAACATCTGCTTTACTCGGAGCAAGTGACTTTACATGGCTTGTAAAGTGCGATAAAGCTTTTGTTTGTGCGTGAGATGGGCGTAGCTTTGAGGTCCTACTTCAAGGTTAGCTGATTATATGGGTTTGTTGGTGCAAATGCACTTTGGACAGTCTTTTCCCACTAAGTCATTTGCAATTGCATTGACACCTCTACAGTCGGTTTTCCTTATGCATGACTGTAAATGAGTGTTTTATTGTGGGTTTCTGTAAGAGAGGAACTGCTTGAAAACATACTGTACACTTCCTGATAGAAGTCTTGTTGTCGATTCCAGTTGTAAGAGTAACAAATAATAACTTGAATTCTAGTTGATCAGTTGGAGAAGTGGCAGAAGGGAGATTTTTCATCTGTTGAACCTCATCCCAATCATCACAAATACTGCAGAAGACCTATCCGCTTGTTAAGTGGTGACGTGTTTGTGACGTATGTAATACTGTTTCCGGGTCCAAGCCGCCACTCATTTGAGTGGAGAAATCATTCGTTTATGATCACGTTTTATTCCTATGACACATTAAAGTTAATTTTCTATAAAATCATTGTGTACACAACAATCTCTGGGCTTGCTGCATAACAAATACCAAAATGTTAACAATTTATAAAAAATTAATCACTTTCTGGCCATCGGATATTAGGCATGGACATATATATTGCGATCGTGATTTTCGAAAGCCTTAAATCGCTTTGTAAACGTTTATTAGTACCATTTCATGAGTCTCCCCATTCAGTTGAATAGAGCGCTTGGACCCGGAAGCCGCTTCGCGTGACGTCACACTTAACAAGCGGATTGGAACCTGCATGGATTCAAGACTCTCAGAGAAATCAGTCAAGTTTGGTGAAGGAAAGTCATGGTTTGGGGTTGCATTCTGTATGAGGGTGTGCGAGAGATCTGTATAATGGATGGCAACATCAACAGACGGTATCAAGACATTTATGCTGACCATTACATTACAAACCACAGGAGAGGGCACATCCCACACGGAAATAACCTACATAAACATATATGTTTTTTAAGATATGTACATATAATATAGGAACAGTATTTTAAAACATCTCACCTATGGCTCTCACTTATTTGTCATAGTCAAATTCAATAGCATGTCAGTTACATGTTATACCAATTCCAAGTGTTCATACGTACATAAGTTGTTTGCTTTTTTTAAATTTCTTAGTTATTGCCTTGATAATAGAAAATATGAACCAGGCATCATGTATGATAAGGTGAGATATGAGCTATACAGAAGCTATATCTTGTATGTACATATAGAGCTTATATGTGGATATATAGAGGCAATACAGGAGTCCTATATGGCCTGTATATTCACATATATGCACCACAATTTTGACTATATGTTGCATATATATGCATATATTATCATATATGTGCATATTTACTGCATATAGGTTTCATATATGTGCATATATACTCATATAGGTTCTTTCCATGTGGTATTCTTCAGCAGGATAGCGCTCCTTCTCATACTTCAGCCTCCATATCAAAGTTTCTGAACGCAAAGAAGGTAAAGGTGCTCCAGGATTGGCCAGCCTAGTCACCAAACATGAACATTAATGAGCATGTTGGGTAAGATTGAGGAGAAAGCACTGAATCCAAGGAATCTTTATGAGCTCTGAGAGTCTTGCAAGAACGCTTTCTTTGCCATTCCAGATGACTTTAATAATAAGTCATCTTATTAATTAAAATATTAATTAATTATTTGAGTCGTTGCAGAGATGTGTGGATTCAGTCCACCAAGCTCATGGGAGTCACACACAATATTAGGTATTTTTCCGCTGCAGCATGACTTTATATTCTATACTGTACATTATTTCTGTTAAGTGAGAAGACTTTTGTCTAAGCAAAGTCAATCCTTACTGTCGTAGTTAAATAATAAAAAATCAAGGCATGATCATATTTTATTTTGGTAAAATAAGCGTAATCTAGAGGCCTTTGCCTTTCATATAAGCCACTCCTGATGCCAAATGATCAACTAGAAGTCAAGTTATCATTTGCTGTTCCTAAAACTTGGATAGGCAACAAGACTTTGGTCAGGTAGTGTAAATGTTCTCATTTCTGAGGTGTGCATTTCCCAGAAACAACAGAGCTATTTAAACTCGCACAGCACTGTACAAATATTCTCATTTCAAATATTTTAAACAACTGACTGCCTCAGTAAACGATTAAAATTAAACAAATCAATAAATCACAAAGAGAAACTGGAATTTTATATTCAGTAGGTAAAAAAATGTTAATGCAGACATGCAAGAAATCTGTTTGCTTTGTTTTATGTTTCTATGTCATTGCATTTGACTGATTGATTTTGAAATGTGATTCTCACACTCTTTAAAACGGTAATAGCCGAGTTTATCTGTAACTAATCAACTATCTATGCAAGATCAAATAATGCAGTTTTGTTGTGTTTTCTAAATGTTGTTATGGACAACAAATACATTTTTTTACTCATTTTTTGTACGAAAACTGAAGACATTTAAAATATTTTTTTCCACACACTCATTTTCAGTGCTGAGATCATGTGTTTTTCTTTTCTAATATGCTTAATAGCATTCATGTTCATCTGTACATATTTGTTGTCCCTTCTATTTTCAATAAAGTTTTGTATTTTAAGTTTTACATCTGTTTTAAGTGTAGCTAAAGCTATAGACAAGGTTTTAAAGGTGTGTTTTAGTTGTGTATATACACTCACTGGCCAATTTATTAGGTCTGTCCAACTGCTCGTTAACGAAAATTTCTAATCAGCTAATCACATGGCAGCTACTCAATGCATTTAGGCATGTAGACAAGGTCAAGATGATCTGCCGCAGTTCAAACCAAGCATCTGAATAGGGAAGAAAGGTGATTTAAGTGAATTTAAACGTGGCATGGTCAATGCCAGACGGGCTGGTTTAAGTATTTCAGAAACTGCTAATCTACTGTGATTTTCACATGCAACCATCTTTACGGTTGGTCTCCACAGTCACCAGAACCTATCCAATAGAGTATCTTTGGGATGTTGTGGATCGGGAGACGTTGACGTTTTGCTAAGAAAGTACTGGGTGAACTAAGATTAGTTACACATTTTTAGTGTATTCAATTCAGCTTTATTTGTATAGCGCTTTTACAATGTAGATTGTGTCAAAGCAGCTTCACATAAATGGTCATAGTAACTGGAACCGTGCGGTTCAGTAACTGGAACAGTGTGGTTCAGGTTTTAGTTTTTAAGTTCAGTTCAGTTCAGTTTAGCTCAGTTCAGTGTGATTTAATCATTACTGAGAGTTCAAACACTGAAGAGCCAATTCATTGATGTGTAACTCTACCAATCCTGAACCATGCGAGGCAGTGGCGACAGCGGAGAGGGAAAAAAAACTTCACCTGATGGGAGTGAAGAAAAAAAACCTTGAGAGAACCAGACTCAGTTGGGCACGACCATTTTAATTTCTCCGCTGGCCAAAAGTCTTGTGCAGAACTTCATTCGCCGTGGTTTAGGCTGGAAGATGGCCTCAATGAAGACTCGTCTGTCCCTGGAGCGTCGCTGGAATCAGACTCATGTTCTCCACTCCTAACGACCATCAGCGCAGCAGCAGCTCAGGATATGGCCTGGTCCCGGATATGGAATCCTTGGGATCATCACGTCGCTGGTCTTGGATCCAATCAGTGACTCCGCCTAATCTGAGGACCTCGGGATGAGTATCCCCAGGTGAAAATAGAGAATAAAGAGAATAATTAGCGTAGCTGCTGTTCATAGTGTATATAAGCAAGATGCAGAAGCCAGTGTGGAACCCGCTAGGTGATGCATTGAGTGTATGCTTTACTAAACAGATAGGTCTTTAATCTAGTTTTGAACTGGGAGAGTGTGTCTGAGCCTCGGACATTACCAGGAAGGCTATTCCAGAGTGTAGGAGCCATGAAAGAGAAGGCTCAACCTCCTTTACTTGATTTTGCTATTCTAGGTACTACCAGAAGCCCTAAATTTTGAGATCTTAAGGAGCGAGTTGGTTCGTAGCGAGACAGAAGGTTGGTTAGATAAACAGGAGCTAGATTATTTAGAGCTTTATAGGTGAGAAGTAATATTTTAAATTTAATACGAAACTTAACAGGCAGCCAGTGTAAGGAGGATAAAATTGGGGTGATATGATCATATTTTCTAGACCTGGTCAGAACTCTGGCTGCTGCATTTTGTACTAATTGAAGTTTGTTAATAGAGGATGCTGGGCAGCCAGCAAATAGAGCATTACAGTAATCCAGTCTCGAAGTCATAAAAGCATGGACTAGCTTTTCTGCATCTGAGATGGATAGCATATTTCGTAATTTAGCGATATTTCTCAGATGAAAGAAGGCAGTTTTTGTGACATGGGATATATGGTTTTTAAAAGTTAGATTGCTGTCTAATATGACACCCAAATCTTTTATAGTAGAGCTAAAGCTAACTTTGTATCCCTCTAATTGTAAATTGAGTTGCGAGATCTGCTATGTGCAAGATTTAGGCCCAATAAGTAATAATTCTGTTTTGTCGGAGTTTAAGAGAAGAAAATTGTTGGTCATCCAGTCTTTGATGTTTTTGATACACTCAGTTAGTTTAGAAAGTTCAGACGTCTCGTCAGGTTTAGTTGAAATATATAATTGAGTATCATCTGCATAGCAGTGAAAGCTGATCCCATGTCTTCTAATAATGTCTCCCATAGGTAGCATGTAAATTGTAAACAGTAAAGGGCCTAAAACTGATCCTTGAGGCACCCCATACTTTACTGGGCAGATTTGTGAAGGCTGTCCATTAAGATTCACAAACTGGTAGCGGTCAGTTAAGTATGACTTAAACCATTGTAGAGCCTGTCCCTGGACACCTGTAGACTTTAAGCGATTTATGAGGATATTGTGGTCAATGGTATCAAATGCCGCACTAAGTGTAGGACTGGTTTGGATTAGTATATATTATCCGGTTATTGTAATTAATAGGCTATAAAATTTCATAGTATGTAGATACAAAACTGTACAGTAAAATATAGTGTTACCAGATATTATTGTTACAGATTAAGAACTGCGTCGTAGGCATGAGAGGGGAGAAATGTTAGACAACACCGCTCTCAGCTGGGTGAGGCTTAAATAACAAGACGTCCACTCGGTAATGTTACGGAAACACACGAGAAGCTCTTCGGCTTTGTTTGGGAACGCTACGGAAATACACGAGGAGTTTTCCGTCATCTTTCGGGAATTTAGCGGAAATATACGAGTGATTCTTCAGCAACGTTCGGAAATTTGACGAAAATAGACGATCGTTAATCACTCCACCACAATAGGCTTATTACTAAAGTACCGGCAAGAGTGTGAGCGCCTACTGGCCACCGCGTCACTGTTCTGAGCGCTGAGGAGAGCCAGTCCATTCAAAGAGAGAGCGAGAGAGCAAATGCACAAACATGACAGAGGCTGAGATGTAAAAAAAAACTTTCTGAGGATAAAGACAGGTATGTGACTTTAATTCTTGCGAAGTGATATAGGCTATTGATAATAGCAGCGGCGGCACTACTGTTGTGTTTCATGACTTTAGTGTATGCGCGTTCCTGCGTAATATTATGACTGCATTGCGCTTCTCAGAGTTTGAGGATTGTTGTGACGTCTTCATTCATCTACTGTTTTCATTTACTTATTTTTTCCCTATCTGGGATAACCTATATTGTGCAGAAACATAAGGAAATAATTAGTAAATGTATTATTTTGTAAATGCGTCTAAATGAAATTCCAAAATCTACTTAAAAGTAATAATAATAATAATAATAACAATTATTATTATTATTATTATTATTATTATTATTTAATATTACAATATTATATTACATTAAATTAATTAATACACTGAAAAAATATAAATTGAATTTACTTATTTGTTTTAAGGTAAGTGTTTGCAAACAATTTATATGGGCTGAATTTTAACAAAGGAATTAAGTTGAACATTACTAAATTTAATTTGTTTGTTTATATTCACCTCATTAAATTTGTTTGCAATCACTTCCCTTAAAATTTTGTAAATCCAATTAATCTTTTTATTTCAGTGTAATGCGACAAATTAAAATAACTCATTTTGTATCTATACGTTTATGTGAAAATGTGTGTTTTATTGTCAGTGAAAGTGTCTGTCTCCAGCAGCTCTCTGAACTCATGGGCTACTCAAACATACTCAGAGAGGGCCGGACCTTCCTGCTTTAATTTGCTTAAAGGATCAGTGAGAGCTGCTGCTTGTGTTCATTCACGTGGTTCGTGTGTCTGAATCTGTCAAGACCTCTTTAATCTGTCTCTGTTCACGACCTGAACACGTGGAGCGACACTGCCAACCTGACTGAAAACAACTTCATTCTGCAGTGCACACTAATGAGTTAACAGACAGCAATTATGGGCCTACAGATGGAGTGACATGTCTCTGTGTTTGCTAGGAGATTCTGGACTGCTGCTTGGGTGTTGCTAGACAGTTCTGCTATAAATAAGTAGATTCCACATTTGTCCACCCTGGACACGTTGACATTGTGAAGCCTTCATTTTCAGTAAAAATCAACCACTTCACAAAAATACCACATTGGCATTGGGATGTTGCTAGGGTGTTACTAGGAAGTTGATTGTATTGAGGTTTTGTTTGGGTGTTATAGGGAGTTTATTGGGGTGCTGGGCTGTGATTTTGCTAGGGTGTAACTAGGAAGTTTATTGAATTTTCCGTGTTGTTGTTAGGGTGCTACATTAAATGTTCTGGGTTATTGTTAGGGTGTTACTAGGAAGTTTATTGAATGCTTTGGGTTGTTGCTAGGGTGTTACTAAAGAGTTTGATTGAGGTTCTGGGTTTGGATTTAGCTAGAGTGCTACTAGGGTGTTTATTGAATGTCTGGGTTGTTGCTAGAGTGTCACTAGGGTCTTAAATGTTCTGGGTTGTTGTTAGGGTGTTACTAAAGAGTTTAATTGAGGTTCTGGGTTTGGATTTTGCTAGACTGCGACTAGGGTGTTTATTGAATGTCTGGGTTGTTGCTCGGGGGTCACCAGGCAGATTATTAAATGTTCTGGGTTATTGTTAGGGTGTTACTAAGGGGTTTGTTGAAGGTTTTGGGTTGTTGCTAGGGTGTAAACAGTTTAAGTGAGATTCTGGGTTTGGATTTTGCTGGAGTGCAACTAAGGTGTTTATTGAATGTCTAGGTTATTGCTTGGGTGTCACTGGGGAGTTTATTGAATGTTTTAGGTTGTTGTTAGGTTGTTATTTGGAGGTTTATTGAATGTTTTTGGTTGTTGCCAGGGTGTTACTAAAGAGTTTAATTGAGGTTTTGGGTTTGGATTTTGCTATAGTGCGACTAGTGTGTTTATTGGATGCCGGGGTTGTTGCTAGGGTGTCACTAGGGAGTTTACTAAAGGTTCTGGGTTATTGTTAGGGTGTTTCTAGGGAGTTTATTGAATGTTTTGGGTTGTTGTTAGGTTGTTATTTGGAGGTTTATTGAATGTTTTGGGTTGTTGCCAGGGTGTTACTAAAGAGTATAATTGAGGTTTTGGGTTTGGATTTTGCTATAGTACGACTATTGTGTTTATTGGATGCCTGGGTTGTTGCTAGGGTGTCACTAGGGAGTTTACTAAAGGTTCTGGGTTATTGTTAGGGTGTTACAAGGGAGTTTATTGAATGTTTTGGGTTGTTGCTAAGGTGTAACTAAAAAGTTTAATTGAGGTTCTGGGTTTTTATTATACTAGAGTGCGACTAGGGTTTATTGAATGTCTAGGTTATGTTGTTGCTAGGGTATCACTAGGGAGTTTATTAAATGTTCTGGGTTGTTGTTAGGTTGTTATAAGAACGTTTATTGAATGTTTTTGGTTGTTGCTAGGGTGTTACTAAAGAGTTTAATCATGGTTTTGGGTTTAGATTTTGCTAGAGTGTAACTAGGGTGTTTATTGAATGTCTAGGTTATTGCTATGGTGTTGCTAGACAGTTCTGCAAAACATAAGTATATTTTTTTCTGGGTTGGGGTGTTGCTAGGGTGTTACTAGGGAGTTCATTGTATGTATTGGGGTTTTGTTTGGGTGTTATAGGGAGATTATTGGCGTTCTGGGTTGTGATTATGCTAGGGTGTTACTAAAAAGTTTAATTGAGATTCTGGGTTCGGGTTTAGCTAGAGTATCACTTGGCCGTTTATTGAATATCTGGGTTGTTGTGAGGGTGTTACTGGGGAATTTATTAAATGTTCTGGGTTGTTGAAAGGGGGTTACTAGGGAGTTTATAACACTTCTGAGTTGAGATGTTACTAAAGTTTTCTAAGGAGTTCACTGATGTTTTGGGTTGTTTCTAGGATGATACTAGGGAATTTATATTGTTTTTTGCTATGGTGTAACTAGGACATTTCTGAAGGTTAGGCTATGAGGTTTATGAGGTAGGGTGTTGCTGATGTTTTTAGAGCAAAAAGTAACAATAAATAAATATTTATTTAAATATTTATATGTTAAAAAAGTTCAAATGTTATGGAGGGAAGATGATTCAATGATATTTCTATCTGCAAACACTTCTATTAATATACAATTTGCAAGGGCAACTTACGTTTTATAATAATAAGCTCAAATATTAGCTTAAACGCTTATATAGTCAACAATAAATACAGTAATTTTCCGAATGCTCATAATAAACTTTAAGATATCTTTTGAGACTGTGTGTGATTCCTCATATACAGATTTCCATAGCTTTCCATTTGGTCTCTCACTTAACATTTTCTTTTTCTTAGTCAGCCACGGACAAACTTTTACATAATTCAGTGATTATGTTTATGATTAGTCAGTAGTTTTATTTGGTCATACATAAATGCAAGCAAGTTAATTAAACTGCATTTTTGGGCACATAATTTAATGAGAGTAAAGCTGATGATTAATAAAAGCTTATCAGTGTCCTGCTGGGTTGTGTGTTTGGTTCCCTAAGGATGAAAGTGATGCCAAAGCTTCTTAGTGCACCATACAAATATACAGACTTCAACTCCATTCATAATGTTCATTAAATCAGCTGCTAGAGTTAATGGCAACCCTTTATAATAACTACACACTATGAATCATTTATAAAGCATTAGCAAATAGTTAATTCAATATTTCTTAAGCATTAACTCTACATTAATAGACGTTAGTAAGCAGTTCATAAATACAGCTATGAATATTGTGTCCTTGACTTACAGTATAAGCACATTTATAATGTGCCTAATGATTGTATTTTAATATTTTATTACTTATTATATGTTCATTACTAAATTCAGTTTTGCATTATTTATAAACCATTTGTATTTAAGTGTAGTTGGTGGCTTTAAGAATCAATCAGAATGAGTTAGTAAATGATTAATAAACTATTCAAATCAACATGTATATATTTTATTATTTAGGCGTATAGTAATGGTTACTGTTTATGTCAATAAATGCTTTTTTTATGTAACTCAAAAGTTACATAAAAAAATTACAAAACTCACATCTCTTATAAATGAAAATTAAAGACTCATTATCACATGAACAATAAATGTTTGCGCGACGCAGTGGCGCAGTAGGTAGTGCTGTCGCCTCACAGTAAGAAGGTCGCTGGTTCGAGCCTCAGCTGGGTCAGTTGATGTTTCTGTGTGGAGTTTGCATGTTCTCCCTGCATTTGCCTGGGATTCCTCCGGGTGTTCTGGTTTTCCCTACAGTCTAAAGACATGTGGTATAGGTGAATTTGGTAGGCTAAATTGTCCTCAGTGTATTAGTGTGAATGAGTGTGTATAGATGTTTCGCTGCGTAAAAACATGTGCTGGATAAACTGGCGGTTCATTCCACTGTGGTGACCCCAGATTATTTAAGGGACTAAGCCGAAAGGAAAATGAATGAATGAATAAAGGTTTTTTATATTATTTTAAAAAAATTAAATACTGTAAACTTTAAACATTGCTGAATAACAGGAATGTCAAAATACAATTAACAATAAATACAATTAAATAAAATTGGATAAAACAACTACAATATATTAATTTAACAATATATTATGATAAAATATTTCAATGTTGTTTAGTGATGTTTAAACTGTACATTATTTGACATAAAATTGCAAAGATTTACTTTTCCTTTGATACAATTTCATTTTAAAATGAATAGAAATTAATAAAGTCATTTATTTTCTTGTTTTTTCTGTTTGGAACATAACTGAGCCTTTAATTGTCATTTATAAAGGATTTCTAAAGCATAAATAGTCCTCACTTTAGATTAGGTCACAAAACTGAATGAAGTTGAGTTAGTAAAGTTATACAAATTGACTATTAGTATATGCCTGAATAATGTGATATATGAATGTTAATTTGAATAGTTTACTAATCATTTACTTACGTATTCTGAATGATCTTAAAATAGCACCAACTATTAACTAGTTTGTAAATCATGTAATACTTAATTAAATAGTGAAAAATAAATCATTAACAAAGTGGGAAAATATCATTATTAGGCACTTTATTAATGTCATGAATACAGCATTTGTTTATGTATTTGTAAACTGCTTACTAACGTCTATTAATGTAGAGTTAGTACTTAAAAGATAATGGATTAACTATTTGCTAATGCTTAATAAATGATTCGTAGAAAGTGTTACTGAGTTCATCTGAAATAATGTGGGGACCGTAGTTTGTGTGGTCTGACATTGCACCACTGTACCAAACAGAAAGCAAGTGTAAAGTGTAAAGCAAAATAAAAGGTTTTATAGGAATTAAATATTCTTACAGTAATTACGTGGTTTTGTAAGTTTGGTTATTTAGAGATGTGTGACAAATACAAATACATTTTTCAGTACATAATGTAAATAAGTAAATTTATTTTTAAATATATTTTATTCGCTCCCTGTTCTGTCTAAAAATGGGGAATAAAGATTTAAAATATCACAATTAAACTCTTGTAAAACAAACATATTTATATAAAGGGAAAGTTAACATGAAGTTACATTTTTAAACTGACAATCAATAGTAATAAAACTGAAATCATTTGTATTTAATTGTAACGTGCCACTTTTAAAAAGCATTGTTTACAGTGTATAGCGGTAATCATACACTGAATGAATTTTAAAATGTCTCCTGATTAATTAAAATTTTCTGAAGAAAAAAAAATTACTATTATTATTATTATTGTATGTTTTTACCAAGATTTACCCCCAGAAATGTAATTAACTGTAACAATATAATTAATATATATTTTTAAATCTTGCTATTCATAGACAGAACAAGAATAATTTGATGATATATTAAGAAAAAGCTAAAATCTTAAATAATAAATACTTGTCATTTAAAATGTTTATACCTGGCCACTATCCTTTAAACTTTAGCGTTCAGCCATTTTTAAAACCATTAAGGAAACAAAATGTTCAATGTTCACTTATTCTTATTGTTTTTTAAATTAGTACAGGTCATATTTAGCATGAATAATTAGTAAACCCCCTATGAAATTTTTGGTCTTTTTTAAATATTTCCCAAATGATGTTTAATTTTCACAGTATTTCCTATAATATTTTTTTCTTCTAGAAAAAGTTTTATTTCGGCTAGAATAAAAGCAGTTTTAAATTTTTAAAATCCATTTTAAGGTCAAATTTATTAGTCTCCTATTTTTTTTTTTTTTTTTTTTTTTGATAGCCCACAGAACAAACCATCGTTATGCAATAACATGCCTAATTACCCTATCCTGCCTTGTTAACACATAACCTAGTTTAGTTAAGCATTTAAATGTCACGTTAAGCTATACAGGAGTGTCTTTAAAAATATCTAGTAAATTATTATGTACTGTCATCATGACAAAGATAAAATAAATCAGTTATTAGAAATGAGTTATTAAAACTATTATGTTTAGAGATGTGTTGAAAAAATCTTCTCACCATACAGAAATTGGGTAAAAATAAACAGGGGGGTGGGGGGGCTAATAACTCAGGGGGTTTAATCATTTTATTTTTATAAAAGTTATTTGAAATATTGAAGTTGATACTTACCTTGCATTTATTAGGCTATTTACAGTTGAAGTCAAAATCCTTAGCCCTCAAAATTATTAGTAAACTTGTACTTTTTCAAATATTTTCCAAATGATGTTTAAAAGAGCAAGGGCTTTTTCACAGTATTTCCTATATAATTTTTTTCTTTTGGAGAAAATCTTATTAGTTTTATTTTGGCTAGAATAAAAGCAGTTTTTAATTTATTTTTAAGGTCATTTTAAAATTTTTCCTAGTGATGTTTTGCAGCTGGAAGGGCATCCGCTGCGCAAAACATCTGCTGGATACGTTGGCGGTTCATTCTGCCATATGTGTTGAAAAAAAATCTTCTTTTTTTAACAGAAATTGGGGGACAAATACAGGAAGGCAAATAATTCTGACTTCAACTATATATATTTTAATGACACCTCATCTTTGAGCCTTGCGGAGTCTATATAATTTGTTTGGATATTTATTTGTATATATCACAGTATTTGGAGTTTTGGAAGTGGAGTAAGGAAGTGAGAGTGGAGGAGCTGTGGCAGGTTGTGTGGGTGTGCTGGAGAAACGCTGAGAAGACGTGCTGATTCAGCTCTTCTGTATTCCGCTCTGTCCCCGAGCGTTCATTAAAAGTGCTCTCGCTGCTTCCTCGGGTCTCTCTGGACCTGCAACCACTGTAGTGTCCGGCTGATCGGCGCAGAGTGATCAAAAAAATAATGCCTTCTTGCAGGTTGAGTCTGTGTTGGGTTTAGAGTCAGGATTTTTGCAAAACCCCTCCCACCTTTTTTTTTGCAGCTGTTAGGCTCCTTCATTTACATCCTAAACATCTCTAATCTCTCCCTTTGCTTCTTTTTTTGTGTTCAGATCTGCAACTCCTTCACACGTCGGCCTGCCAGTATGATGAAAGATTGCCTTCAGTTCCTCATTGAGCCGGCCAAAAAGCTCAAGTTTCGTTTTAAGGTATGACTCATTCATTCATTCATTCATTCATTCATTCATTCATTCATTCATTCATTCATTCATTCATTCATTCATTCATTCATTCATTCATTTCACTTTAATAAATTTAAATTCACCAATGTCAGGCTATTTTGTCCACTATAGTCATAATAATTAATAGATTTTTTTTTTTTTAGAACTAACATTCATTTGTTTTTAAGATCAGGGAATACCTATTCACTAGGAACTAGTTGCTTAATATCATGCATTTACTACCATATTTGTAGTTTATTAGTAATTGTAAAACACATACTGTATAATTGCATTATTGTATGTAATGAGGCGATGCAATGGCGCAGTGGGTAGCACGTTCGGCTCATAGCAAGAAGGTCGCTGGGTTGCTGGTTCGATCCTCGGCTCAGTTGGCGTTTCTGTGTGGAGTTTGCATGAAAATGAATGAATGAATGTGTGTTATGCCTTATCTATCCCATGCTGAAACATAACTAATTGAATAGCTACTTTACTTACTATAAGTGAGCATTAATTAGGAGTTTATTGAAGGAAACATTTTACTATTAGTGTTCCTAACCTTATGTGATAACATTCCATGTCCACCATTACCCAACGATTACGCCTGCTAATAAAGTAGTTTTCCTATTTATAAACTTATTTGTTTATTTTTTAATTATTTAAATATTACTAGTTGAAAATGTAAGTTTGTATGTACTGCATCACTTAAACTCTGAATATAGTCTTATATATATATAAATAAATAAATAAATAAATAAATAAATAAATAAATAAATAAATAAATAAATAAATAAATAAATAAATATTAATAAAATAAGGGCATCACGGTGGCGCAGTGGGTAGCGCTGTCACCTCACAGCAATAAGGTCACTGGGTCAGTAGGCATTTCTGTGTGGAGTTTGCATTTTCTTCCCATGTTCACATATGTTTCCTCCGGGTGCTCCGGTTTCCCCCACAGTCCAAAGACATACGCTATAGGTGAATTGGGAAGGCTAAATTGTCTGTAGTGTTTGTGTGTGAATGAGAGTGTATGGGTGTTTTCCAGTGATGGGTTGCAGCTGGAAAGGCATCCGCTGTGTAATACATATGCTAGATAAGTTGGCGGTTCATTCTGCTGTGGCGACCCCAGATTAATAAAGGGACTAAGCTGAAATGAAAATGAATAAATTAATGAATATTATTATATAATAAATAAATATATATATTTCTAGGATGCTTAACAACCTGTTTTCCATTTTTTCATGTTTCTTTTTATTGTTGCTGTGGTAATGCTGTTTAATATTTTTCAATCCTTTTTTTTAATTTACCATGTTCACTGTCTTTATCTTTTTAATCTAGAGTATCTGACAATTTAGAATTAGTATGTATTAGTATTAGTATTAGAATTTAGTGTGGAGCTAATAAAATGTATAGAAAACATGTTTGTCATGTTGAGAACAATGGCAATATCAAAATGGAAACATTTCAGACAAAAGCTTTGTCAGCCTGGGCAAATATAAGAATCTGCAAATATATCTGTAGAGTTAGGGGGCGCTGTGGAATTGACTGTCCTTAAAGGGATAGTTCACCCAAAAAATGAATTGTTAAAAGAAAACGTTTAAAATAAAAAAAAAGAGTGCTTCAGGGGTAATTAATGTGTGTCTGCTCTTTGGATATTGGATTTATAAAGATAAACAACAAATTCAAAACAAAATCATAATGAAACTCTAGACGCACTTGAAGATTGTTACCCTGATTAATGTTGCTGAAATGCCTCGGTGCGGTGCACAATAGTGGTGTTTTTAATTATAGCCATTTTAATGAAGGCTTTTTAATTTTTTTCAGCTACTTTTCGAGTGCCTTGGTCTTTGATTTTGTTGTATACATTTCTTTGTTCTGATGAACACAAATTTGGAAGACTGTCAATATCTAAAGAGATTTCAACAGCCACTCTCTCCAGTGGTATGCATTTTTCCTACTGATGGAGTAAATAGGTGGAGAGATCTGTGTGTGTTGGAATGTTTCTGACATTCTTTCAAATATCTTACTTTGTCTCCAGCAGAACAGATACATTTTAATGTATTTTTGAAACAACCTGAGGGTGAGAAAATTACAACATAGGCTCATTCTTAAAATGTAGCCCTATATACATTTCGTGAAGTGCTTAGGGCTGCATTTTGTCTTCAAAACAAATGCTATGGCGTGGTATGATGTTGCTTCTTTTTGCGCTTACCAGCTGACCACTTACCTCTATGTGGACCGCTTTTCTGCTGTAATCAGTTTGTCCAGTAGTTCGCCATGTACGTCGGCAGACTTGAGACGCAGCGAGGAGTTGACCACAACAACAAGGTTCGAGTTCAGTGAAGAACGATTCCAGAAAGTAAAAAAAAAAAAAATCTATAAAATTAAAAAAATCCTTAAAAGACAAAATAAACAAGTAAATAACAGGGTGAGCATATGCTCACATTTAAAAAATGTGTTAAAAATCAGGCTTTTCTTTTTCTGGATTGTGTTTTAATATCGGTGGTCAATCTGCATCAATGGGGGCTTTTGAAAACACTATTAGTCAGGTTCAGGAAAGGAGGAGGGTGGGTCAGTTGATCGGTCAGTCATTCAGTAAGTCAGTTAGTCAGTCGACAGCAGCCTCTGGTGGATTTGAGCAAGCATGGCACTCGCAAGAGAAATTTGAGATCTGAAAAGGTGCAAACAGCGGCCTCTGGTGGATATCCGAAAACAAAAACTGCAAAAAATGTAGCCCCTGGGACGTACTTCGCAGTCTCCAGAAATATATATAGCAGTACATTTTCAAAATGAGCCTGGGTTGAAAAATGATGACAGAATTTAGATATTTGGATGAATTACCTCTTTAACATGCTCACTAATAAAATGAAGCAAGACAAAGAAGCCTACAATCATGATGTTTTGGACTGTCGGAATGCATAACTTAAATTAAAAATGAAAAAGAATCAGCTATTATATTTGTACTTGATGTTGACCAGATTTTTTTTAAATTCTGTCCAGGAGACACGAAAGAAAGTGAAACATGTAAAGAAAGAGCCATTAAGCGAGAGTCAGCTGTTTATAATGGAGCTGGCACGAGAACTCAACAGAATCTGTCAGGTAAGACTGATATACAGTAGTATTGCATTAAACCTGTACATGACTTTATGATAAGAGTCATGGACCATTAGTGCATATCAAAGATGCT